ATTACTGCATGAAGAAAAGGTGCCTTGTCCATCTTTACTGCAACATATAACCAGCAAATTAATGACAAACCTATATGCATGCCAGAAGTTGTCTGTAATAAGGGTGTCTTACATATTCTGAACAGAATTCTTCCTAATCATATACATACAATTAAGACAAACACAATGCTGCATGCAGAAAAGAAAAATAAAATCACACAGGGAGCAAGGTTTGCAATTCTCATGTAGAAACAAAGGGCTTTGTGTCTCCCTTTTAATGATAAAGTAACTTTTTACTGTAGAAAGTTTTTTATTTACTCTTGGTCAGCTATTCAAGTCTGAAATCTTGGATTTTTAAATATAGAAAACTTCAAAAATTGATAGAGGTTTCTTGATACCATTCTATGGGGTTTTTTGAATTTAGGATATTAACCTCAAATAGAATTAATGTAGAATATATGCATAAATATTTAAGCTAGGCTAAGCCTCTAAAAGCTTATAGGACTTAAACTGTCCTGCAATAAATGAACCACTGGCTTCAAAATAAATATTAGTTGCCCTGGCTTTTGTCCTGGTTTAGGGCAAAGCATTCATCAGCACAAAAAATGAATAATATTAAATAATAAAACCTTTCGCTGCTTCGAAGAGATGACAAACTCAGAAAGTCCCCTTCGTGGGCTGTAGCTTGGCTCACTCAGTCTCTTATCAGTCCCTCTGGTGCTAGAAAAATGCTGTGGCCCAGGCCAGGCCCCAGCGGGCCACATATGTGAGCTGCCAGTGCGCTTCTGGGTTTTCAGTCCAGAGCAGGTTCAAACAGCTCCAAGAAAAAAAAAAACAACAACCCACACTCCAGGGAACTTCTCTACCTCAGGTAGCTAAAAACTAACTAAAAAGCAAAGGAGAGCTCTGTCCTGCTGTCTGTCCATGCTGCAGACAACACAGTCCAGAAGGAATGTGGAGGAGTGAGTGCAGTTTCTGATAACAAACTCTGCGATTCTTCTCTCCCCTCTTCGCTATCGGAACCAGTCTTAAAGGTGCAAAACTTATTTCTGGGCTAAAGAGATGAATGGGGATACAAGCATCATAAAGTCACCCCAGGACAAAATAGTTCAGGAAAACATACCTATTAAGGACTACAACCCTTAATGAGGAACTTTGCTAATGCAGACATGCTAAGGCTAGATTAAGTGGGAAAGTGTGCACCGTACAGGTTAAAAATCCCCATCAATAGCTGCCAAACAGGTATCCATGAAAACCAATGAACTTTACCCTGTTAGGAACTTTACACATGCCACATATTTTTAGGGCAGCAGTACTTAAAATGTAAACTCTAACCTAACAGAACACAGTTCAATAACTTCAAATTTTCTCAGTACTAGGAATATATGGAATATATATACATGTGGACTTGATCTAAGAGGCCTTTTTCAACCTTAATGATTATATGATTTGCACGTTTTCATAAATTTAAATGAGAAAATGGAACAAAATTGGAGAACACAGATCAACAGATATTAACAAAATTAAGCCTGATTTTTATTTGGATGTAAATCAAAACCACTGTGATAACACTGTTGATGACACTCCTTAGTTTTTTTCCTCCTCAAAAGACTAGGTGTCTGTTTCATTTTAAAAAGGCTGAGAAATATCACAGTACAGGAAAAGAGAACTCTTGAGAAGATTTATAAAAGTATCTCTCAGAAGAAATCTAATTTGCTAGCCTTTTTTGCCTAGGAAAGCTCTTTGACTTACAGCTTTCAGAGGAAAAAAATACCATCCAGAAGGAAAACATGTTCTGGCTGAATCTATCACTGTACTTTGTAAACCTATGATGTAAGTAGGAAAAAACAGCAGAATGCAAATTATGCCTCCCAATTTCTTTTTTTTTTCCCCTTCTCTATTACTAGTGGTATGCTGATAAAATCTGTTTGGGTAGTGCAAATGGGTCTTGTTTAACAAAGAAATGAATTTGGCATTGAGTAATTCTTCACAGACCCATCATCACCAGATATTCATCAAACAACAAGAATGTTAAATATACATGAAAATTGCTGTAGGAATATTTAAAGTTGATTTCAACTCTCAGAAAGTTTCTAGGTACAATTTTAAGTAAATTTTAAATCACTTCTGAGTAGTGAAATAGGTCTAAAAATAAAAGCAGCAAATGAATCCATCACATTCAATAGCTCCATAAGGTTAACAATTCATATAGAATTCTATAATAGGGTAAGATGTTGATGGAATGTATCCAACAGACTTGCATTTCTACCAATGCCTCTACAGAAACCCATGTGAAACCATAATACTCACAGACAGCACATACTTAAAAACTAGGCAGACAAAGCTTGAAAATACTTCAAAACAGAACAGCTCTCATTTTACTAAATTGTTCCTCTAAAGTGAACACTGAGGGGAAAATTCTTGCTGTGTACATTTCTTTTTTGTATATTATGACTATAGTGTCTGGCACTTTGAGATTTAACACACAGCATTGCTCAATAAGAAAGGCAAACACTGTTTATTAGTGAACCAATAGCATTATCAAAACATAGGGTATTAAAATGGCTATTTGCTTGTAAATTGATTACTTGGTCTTAACTTTATCTTCCTAAGCACACAATGTAATATTTAAAAACAAAGTTCATGCTGTACTTTTTAAAACCTTGTTTTTCCATTATTCTTAGCTTAACAGGAGTCAGAAGTTACATCGTTAAAATAGCCCATTAAAATGGGCAAGTAAAACAGAAATAAACTGCAAATTCACTCTTTACCACACAGTGCAAAAATCATAGTCACAGCTTCAAATTTAATGTGGAATCATTTTAAGTATACAACAGTTCAAAAGACCCAGAAACTGCTTAAGAGTTAAAAGCCAGTAGAACAAAAACACAGGAAATCCAAAATACATCTTTGACCTTTTTAATCCTAAATTTTAGGGTTAGTCACATGCCCAAATAAATGTTTGTTTTATGGAGAAAGAAACTTTGGTATGGAGTTGAACTAGCCACATGAATAGCACCTGTAACTTTCAAAATAAACAGTAATGGCTTATTAGACACCATGGCAGCAAGATAGCCCTTGTAAAAAAAACAATCAACCAACCAACCAAAAAACCCAAACAACCAATACCCACCAACTAAGACCAAGCACATGCTTGGAGGCACACATCAAGGCTAGACAAAAGAAACTAGCATAATCCTTTTTTAAAGTAATTTTAAAGCATGCATTAATTATTGTATTTCTGATGCTGAAATTGGTAAGAAATCTTTCCTACAATGAGAAAGCCTTCCTTTTATTTGATAACCAGTAATAACCACTCATTTTAAAACTGCACTCTAATGTTTGAAGAATGTTATTAATATATTTCCTTAAGATTCTCTCAATTTTTCTAAAATACTGTATATTTCTATTTTACAGGCCCATGCTGTTAGCAGTAAGCATTGCAAACAAAAACATCCCCCCATCCTACTCCAAGAGGCATTTATTAAAAAGGTCAAAGATAAATTCAACCTCAAAATGGAACAAAAAGATTTTTTAAATTGTACCAGAAATAACAAATTATCTTTGTAATGTGTGATACACTCCTACAGCCATCAGTAGTCACCAGAATGTTAGTCTATGTTTATCTGCGAGTTTTATGGGTTTGCAAAAAGTATAATACACACTGAACAGAATGAGGGAAACTTCAGTTTCAAGTGTATAATGAATTTTAGTAATTTAATAAATTTTAGCTTTTAGTTGTATATTCCACAGTAGTGCTGTGACAACAAATCACAACTGTGTACCAGAGCATACATCAACAGTATAGTGTAACATTACTATACCACTGCTATACTTAGCTTTTTGAAAGAGACATAAGCGTACATCAAACAATTTTCAGGGTTACTTTTTTCCTTTAATAATGTTCACTTTTTCAATTATGCTTCACTTTTTAAAATTTGAATTATTGAAAAAAAAAAAATCACTGAGAGTTTATACAGAAATAGCTATAAGGAATACCCTTACAGGCACTGATATGACAAACGTTTAAGGCCTGAGAGGCATTAATATCAACCAAGTGGGCTGAAAAGAATTACTAACTTTGTCTAAATGGGAAACGCCTGCTTCTGTTTGTATGATGAAAAAGGAAATTCAGAAAGTTATATTTTGACCTTGCTATGTCACAAAGTCAGTCATAGAAAGACCTACACATTTAATCTAAAATGATAGCTTTAAAAGCCCTTATATTAAAAAAACCCCAAAACATCATGCAAAACTTGGATCAGTTATGCAGCTGCTTTAAAACTGTTGTAAGACCATACTCTATATATTAGCTTTTATACTGCTAATACACAACTAACAGCAAAGTTGATTAGATTAACAAATATTTATATTGATATCACACTATATCACACTTTATATCACACTAAAGAGACAAATGCCAAAAGATTGGCAAAAACATTTAATTTTGAGTACTCAAATGGCAGGATAATTATGTGTTGCAACCCCTTCACATTTGGGAAAACAAAAGCAAAAACATAATAATTCAGTCTGACTTTACAAAATGAAGTTTTGTAAAATATTAACTGGGAGGGCAACAGTTTATGCTAACACAATGTAACATATACAACTAGTGTGAAAGGCAAAGAAAAAACCTTCCAAATAAAAAAAATAATCAAAATACACACAGGAACAGAAGCACAAACACTGAATTAAATACAGTTAAGATAAAACAATGCACATGAGAGAGAAACGGAGACTAAAGGTAGCAACACATTTAAAGAAAATGTAATGAGGAAAAAACTTAAAACTATTTTTTCCAATGACAGTTTCCATTTGCAGTCTTTCCATTAATAATCTATCTGATACAGTATATCATTAAAATATTCACAATCTCACAGAAGATCTATATTTTTCTCTTCCAAATATAATTACTAAGTTGTTTTTGGATATTTTAAACATACATTATTATGTCAATTTAAAAGCAAGGCAACAAATGGACTTTTTATCACCTTCAATCTTAGCACTAATGACAAATGTTTTTAAAAGTTATCATAATCTTTTTTGTCTTTTTTTCCCTCTGCTTCAAATCCATCAACCCCATCACTGTCCCTTCTTCTTTTACGATTATTATGAATGCTGAAGCGTTGATTCATCTGTGGTAATGGATCCATTCCTAAAACTTTGTGTATTTGACGGAATGCAAGGAGTCTCAGTGCAAACTAGAAAAAGGATAGAAAGAAGATATTTCTGTTAGAAACAAATGTCAATCTAAAATACTTTATCAAACAATTAATGAAGAACATTAGTGGTATATGATATTATACTTAGCTCTTATTATCCTCTCTTCCTTCCCCCAACAAAGTCAACACAACAAAATGTGTATGTCCCATTTGCTGCTTTGACACAAAATACAACATATTAACTTAAAAATAATATACGTGTGTTTTAGCTGCTGGACTTGCATTGAAGCAGCCAAGGCTTGTCATGTGCCTCAATATGCATTAGCGATCTTCAGCAAAAGGATTGAATTAAGAGGTAGGGGCAGTAAACTCTTAAGCTGCAAGCATGAATAGCCAATACTGTAAGTAGATACAATAAATATTAAAATTTAAGCTTTCACAGATTTCTTTGAGTGACTTTATGATGCTGCACGCAGTTTATCTGCAGAAGCTTCACTTTACTCCCCCAGAATTCCCCTCTCTCACAAACTGTGCTGCCTAGCTCAGACAGCAGGAGACAGGTAAGAGCTCAGTGCTCTCAGAGTTCTCAGCTTTTGCAGAGAGAGAGAGAATGAGTTTCTCTTTGCTTTTTTTTCACTGGTTTTCCTTGTTAGCTAAGGCAAGAAAGATTTTCCCTGAACTGTGCCTTCTTCTAGGACTGTTCAGCTTCTCTCCGATCCAGGACATCAGGAGAATCACCCAGGGGCCCCCCAAGCTAAATGCCAGGCCTGGCATGCTGGGCCCAAGCCCCAGAGAGACTGAGCCACATCCACAGAAGGACTCTGAATTTGCCATCTCTTCAGAACAGCAAGAGGTTCCATTGTTTATATTACTTTTTTTTTTTCATGCTTGTGAGTATTTTCTTGTTAAATAAACAGTTTTTTCCACTTCTCTCCAAGGAGATTTTTTTCTCCCAAACTGGTTAGGGGAGGGGCTGCTGAAATTTGCTTTCTAGAGGAGACCCCTTTGGAGGTTTCCTCCAAAAATTTGACCTAAACCAGGACAATTTATAAAATATTAAATGCTGGTCCAATTTTTAATCTAATAACATGCTACTGTAGAGTAAGCATCTTTACAGAGATTATATATGTGTAGATGGGAGTGCTTCAAACTTTTCAGGAAAATTTGTTAATTTTAGTACGAAAATGAACACTACAATACATTCTCTGTTGTGACATTTTTATTGCCTAGCTTAAGACTGATCATTTGAAAGACTAGACTACATTCTAAGGAAAGAAAATTCATGTCCATCATATAGTTTCATCAATAAAAACACCAAAAAACCCCTAAATCAACCAACCATCCCCACAAAAAAACTATCCATCAAATTTAGTTACTTAAAACACTTTTCTGTTATGTGGGGTCGTGGGTTAGAGAGAGACACGACACAACACACCAATCATCATCAGCAAACAGCCCTGACTTTAATATGGCTGCCCTTTTTATAGGGGCTTTGAATCTCCAAGGCCCAGACAGCTGCTTGGATGGGACTGCTCTCTGCCCAGCTCTCTGGCCAGTGGTTTGCTTGCAGTTAAGGTTGAACAGGGTTGGCTGAAGGTCCCCTGTATAGGTTTGAATCCAATTTATCGTACTGTGACACTTTTCCTTACCTGTGCACTTGAAGTAATATCCTCTCGTTGCTGATCTGTCATTACCGCAAGTGTATCAAAAGGATCTTTCTCACAAGGGTCCAGAAGGCCAGGGCCACCTAAAACAGTTAGGCTAATTAGTAGCACATCTCCATCTTATTTCAGTCAAGATTACAGATTTTACATTACTTAAACACAAGTATACAAACACTAATCAACTGCAACTTGCCTTTAAGGATGATTCCTGAAGATATACACTCAAAAACTCTTCTTAGTGCATCCCCAGGACTCTGTGGTCCAGTAGCACTGCTAATTGCTTTTTCCACAAGCAACTCCATAGCCTAGAAGAACAATAAGAAAATCCAGACAATTTAGAAGACTGATTTAAAAAAAAAATCTACTACTGTTGTTCAGTATAGAACTTTTAAAACTGAAATTTTGAAGGATATTACACATCACACAACACTTTCAGTTAAAATTTTAAAAATCAGATGTTTGTTAACAATAAAAAGAAAGCTACTGTAAGATTAACATTGAGTGTTGAGTACCAATATGCTGCTTCTCATGACAAATTGTCCAAAGATTTTCTTAGAAATTTATACAGTACTAGCCTCCTTGGGGAACTTGTCCAGTCATTTTTTGAGAGCATGAAACGTGGTAGGTCACTGGAATCTGTTAGCCATGTGAGTAAACAGCACACAATATTGAAACAGACTGGAAATTTACCAGGGTGGAAATCCATTTTGGATTTGGATGAAATGTGCTGTTTAAAAAAAAAACTGCCTCAGCTGAAGGAAAAATGTGAGAGATAAGAGAGACCCCTTGAACTTTCAAACAGATGAAAACCAAAGCTGAGGCTGCAGGAGACAGGGCAAGGTGACTGAGACAGAGTAAAAATCCATTTTGAATTAGGTAAAATGTCTAGGAGAGGTGAAAAGTCTGTGAGGCCAAAGCTGAAGGGAAAAACTGCAGGACAGCGAGAGTGAGGAGACAGAGAGAAAAAACAGAAACGACCACAAGGTCGATCTGCCCTGACCTACAAATTCTTTTGATAAAGAGGAACTGGCGATAAATGTCACGCGGAATGAATATGTATGAACCTATTGTGAAACTGTATGCATATGTATTTGGAAGGGGAGATAAAAGGATACCTGAGGTCTTCAGGGGTACGCATGCCTTTTAAGGAGAGCATTCTCCGCATGCGTCCGGCCCCCGTAATAAACATACCAAGCTTTACAACTTTTATAAAGTTGTGAGGTTTCTTCTTTTCTCCGCAAAACAGTGACCCAGGAGTTCTTTCTGTATTTTCTGATAAAAAAACTAGCTGCAAGTGTAACGGGAAACCAGTAAAATGAATATGTATGAAACTATTGTGAAATTCTATGCATATGTACCAGTAAGGGGGATAAAAAAGGATCGGGAGTTCTCAGGGGTGCACATGTCCTTTATGGGGAACGATCCCCACATGCATCCAGCGCTGTAATAAACATACCGGCTTTACAACTTTTACAAGTTGTGGAGTATTTTTCCTTCCACAAATCAGTGTGAAATGATGAATTTGATTCATCTAATGAAATTAACAGGATGCTACAGAGAAATTATCTTTTTTTCTACAAGAATACAGAAACTTAAAGTATCCAACATTTAATGACCTTTTAACATTTAAGTGGTTACTAATTCTTCAGTTTTGCAAAACTGAAGTTCACTTCAATTTTTGTTTTTTGGGTATACCCTAACACTAACTTAGATGTTAAACAAGTGTAAATAAAACCTTGATGATAAACAGGTTTTCTAAAATTTACACTTTTTTTTCTGTGAATGTTTCCATTGTTTGCCTTTATTAGACACCATTAAAAAGAAAAAAAACTATAAAAGTTTATGCTTATTTTTGCGAAGTAAGCATTAAATGGATGTTTCAATACCACCTCCTTGGCAAGTTTTATTTTCAAACAATATGTCTCTCTTGGTTTTTGGTGGGATTTCTGGTAGTTTGGTTTTTTTTGGTTCCTCTCCCAAGTTACAGTTGCTCTAATGTTGCCTTCTATTTCTATTTTCCAAGAATAAATGTCCATTCTAATGCATGCAAATAACTACAGGCAGTGCTGATTACAATTACTCCCTAAGGGTGCCTATTCCTTTCTATTTTCTCTCAATTTAACTGAAAAATTTCAATTCTTGATCATGGTATTTTAGGACTTAGACTGTATCACTCAGGGTCAAGCTTTTGAGTTTTAGCAACAATTTAGTTGTTTTCAAGTATGAAGCAAAATACAGCAGGAAAGAAAAAAAGCAGATCGCATTATTTATTCAAGTCTAACTCTTTTGGATTCTCATAAAATACACTAAAGTCTTCAATTTCATCATAGGAAAATGTGAATTATGATGCCCCAGTGTTTATGTGCGAAAACGGCTAGATTTCAAGTTTGGAAAATAAAAACAAGTTTTGAATATTGGTTCCTTCTAACTTGTAGGAACTTGACACAATTCTTCTAATTTAGTTTTTATTTCTAGCTATATAAAGAGACTGATACTAATGTGTGTTTAGATTTCCTAATGTTTTCTATTATTAAAACTACTTAGGCTCTTTCTGAAATGCTCTGGCATCTCTGGCTTGTAACAGACTTCTAGCATAAAGGTCAGGAGAAGTTCTGCGTCTAGGAAAATATATTTCTTCAATCTACAAAATTTTATCTGTAACTGTCAGAAATAATATATATTTTTAATGTCTTTTTTTTTTTTTCCAGTAGGACTTTGCTAACAAGCCAAAAGAACAACTGAATACACAAATTTCAATGGTGATTCGTGGCACCGGCAATGCATTGGGTACGAAGAGTGTTACTGAACAAGTTAAATTTCTTTAATAAGAAGTCTATGCAGCACTGGGGGTAGATGTTGGAACATTCTTTTAACTTCAGCACAATAGTGTATGATCCCTGTATTTGTGGTTAATGTTTAGTTTTGTACCATACACTGCTTATGCAAATACCAGAGATGATTGTGGCCTTGTGTTAACTCCCTATATCTGACTAATAAGTCTTCTGCCAGCTAATGTATCCTTGTTTACTTCTATCAGTGATTAATATGTATTAGCTTATATCTTAGTTTTGAGAACAAGGATTGTGTGTCAGAGCAAAGAATGATAAGTGAAGTACATTATGACCTGATGACATACTTGAGATACTCTGAAAGAGAAAAGATTCATCAGAAGATCTAGAACCATATCCAAACAAGTCCATGGAAATAATTAGCATATATGCATGCATTCAGGAAATGTGATGAATATGCATTAGTTTCAGGAATATAACCTGGTCTGTTAGGTTGCTGCTCATGCATGCTTTGAGAAGAATCCCCCATGTATCCAGCACTGCTAATAAAGTAATGTTGGCTTTCTAACCTAGCAAATTGGTTGGAGAGTTTATTTCCCATTTTTCGGAGACAAGAGCAAGACAGGAAGCACTTTTAGAGAGAACTGAGACACCTAGGCCTGAAATCTCTCATGAAATCCTCATAGGCAAACTCAGGAAGTATGGACTGAATAAGTGGACAGTGAGGTGTATTGAGAACTGGCTGAAGGGCAGATCCCAGAGGGTTGTGATCAGTGGCACTCTAGTTGGAGGACTGTCACTAGTGGTGCTTTCCAAGGTTCTATACTGTGTCCAGTATTGTTTAATGTTTTCATCAATGACTTGGACAAAGGGGAAGATGCCTCCTCAGCAAGTTTGCTGATGGCACAAAGCTGGGAGGAGCGGCCGATACCCCAGGGTGCTGTGCTGCTCTTTAGAAGGACCTCGACAGGTTGGAGAGATGAACAGAGAGGAATCATCTGAATATCAACAAAGGCAAGTGCAGGGTCCTGCATCTGTGGAGGAATGACCTCCAGGCACCAGTACAGGCTGGGGGTGACCTGCTGGAAAGCAGCTCTACAGAGAAGGACTTGGGGGTCCTGGTGGACAAGTTGCCCATGAGCCAGCAGTGCCCTTGTGGCCAAGAAGGCCAATGGCATCCTGGGGTGCATTGGGAAGAGTGTTGCCAGAAGGTCGAGGAAGGTGATCCTGCCCTTCTGCTCAGCCCTGGTGTGATGGAGTGCTGTGTCCAGTTCTGGGCTCCTCAGTACAAGAGAGACATGGAGCTCCTGGAGCAGGTCCAGCAGAGGGCTATGAAGTTGATCAAGGGTCTAGAGTATCTCTCTTAAGAGGAAAAGCTGAGGGAATTGGGCCTGTTCAGCCTTGAGAAGAGGCAACTGAGAGGGGACCTCATCAATGTCTGCAAGTACCTAAAGGATGAGTGTCAGAGGATAGAGACAGGCTCTTCTTGGTGATGCCAACCAATAGAACAAGAAGCAATGTGCAGAAACTGATGCACAGGAAGTTCCACCTGAATATAAGGAAGAACTTCTTTATTCTGTGAGTGACCATGCACTGGAACAGGTTACCCAGAGAGATTGTGTAGTCTCCCTCACTGGAGATAGTCCAGATGCATCTGGATGCAGTCCTGTGCCATGTGCTCTGAGATGACCCTGCTGAAGCAGGGAGGCTGAACCAGATGACCCACTGTGGTCCCTTCCAACTTTACCCATTCTGTGATTCTGTGACACATCGCTTCATTTCTGGCTGTGCCTTAGAACAGATATTATGAGAAATAAGAAACAACATTCCTTGTTCTTCATCTATGTGCCTGCTGTGTGTTGCAATATTTTAAAGGATGCTTTTCTAAAAGTATGTCTGGGTTTATTCTTTGGCTACTTAGTAAGCAATATTGAGGGTACTTACACACTTCCGAGCTTCTGTAAAACTATATTTATACAGTATATCTTTCATGAAGTATAGCAGAGAAAGTGGATTTTTCTTAAACTTTAAATATTTTAAAAAGCAGAAATAATTGCTCCACATTTTTTCTGATCAGCAAGCTTATTACAATTGTAAAACATTTCTCATTGAAATAATGCCAACTATTATAACTGTCTTGACAATGTTAGCACTCTTCCTGCCAAAACTGAAAAGTCTACATTAGGAAGCAGCACAGTGCAACAGGATTTGGTCTATGAAACAAAAAGTCGAAGTTGAATTTACCTCCACATATATACGCTTTGGAGATTTTGGTTCAGACTAACTTTGTGCAGTCCACAGATTGAACATTTATTAATATTTGGAACACAAGTTGCACTCCTGGAGAGCATAACTTAAGATAGTCAATGTAAAAGAATGCTCCAAAACCACTCAGCTGCAAGAATTGAGATAGGTATCCAGCTACAACCTAGAGAGCTGTGTCTAAGTGACACTGATTAAAATGCCGATGGTTACACATCCACAGACTAGTACTGTGGTATTTCATCTTGCAGAAACAACATATTAATGATTGCAGGAATTGCTGTGAATTATTCTTTCAAGCAGCTTTTCTGTTATCACAGAGCTATCTGGGTACAGCTGACATTATTTTCTACCAGTTTCAGTAAAGTCCAAGCAATTCAGAGCAGGTTGTAAGTAAAAAATAGATTCTTTGATACAGAGTAAAGGAAAAAAATGCTAAAATATAGAATAAGAATGCTACTCTCAAAAAATTCCAAAAACAACAAGAAATTTCATTTTTAAAAAACATTTTCAGCTCCACATGGCAAAACCACAGAAAATTAAAATTTTAGAGGTAATCTGGATCGTTTGTTGGGGAAAACCAAAAAATCAACCAACCAACAAACCAACCAACCGCCCAAGCAAAACCCTACATTACTCCTTTTAAAAACCTAAATTTTAAATCTGTAGTAACACATTCCCATGCTTTATTTGCAATGGATTAAAAAAAACCCAATGTGCATTAAAAACTCATTCAAAAGAACATTACTCACCCAGCTTGGAAAATCAGACCATGTTGGAACCCGCTGACAGAGGTCGCGAAGAATACGTATGATAACCACACAGGACTGCAGACCATTAGCTCTAGCCTTGAGAACAATACAAAATCAAATTAATCCCAGCAGATACAGCAAATAGGACTTGTTGAAAGACTAAAACACTGCTGTTCAATGGAAGCTCAGATACAAGACCAAAACAAATCATTCTACAACTTTATTCTAAGAGCTGCCATTTACAGCAGTATTTTATACAGGGTTAGTAATTTAAGGTGATAGAAGTCAAAGTGCACAGGTTATACAAGAATAACATTTCTTGATCCCCTATACACTTTGACCTATATTCACCTGCAACAATAAATACAGTATTTTTCTATATTAGAAATAAAGGTCTAAGAAATAGGTATAGAGATGGAAAGGTGAAGGGAATCTGTTTCGTTTCTTTATTGTGCCTTTGCCAGAATGCAAAGTCACTAAACCAAACAGTTGCTTCTTGCCTTTCATTCCCTACACTTAAAGAAATAGGAAAAAAGTCTTAAATCTAAACACAAAGCTTTAAACAAATATTTCATTATTTAAAGCAAAGTTGCTCTGCAGCCTTATGGAACATATAACAAATATACAACATATGATCACCCCAAGTGAATCAAGCTTTCCACATTGCTTTCTTGATGACCAGAAAAAGAAAAAAAAAGGTCAAATGAACAATAACTGCATACAGCAGTTCCTCTCTACTCAACCTTCTACACCTAAATTCAGGGACCAGAAAAATATTAAGTATTATTACCATGAACAACACTGAGTGTTTTCACCCAGTTAGACATTTATATTACAACTGAACTAATCTCTCATAAGGCTACAAGAAGAAAATAAAATTATGTTCCGAACCTGGAACCACTTAGCGTGGCGTAGAGCAGCCAGAGCGTCAAGGCATTTTTGCCTGTCCAAGATGTCCGGTGGGTCTTTCACCATACCCGAGGTTACATCTAAAATGGATTGAATTGGCAAAATGCAGTGAGGAATGGGTGTTTGACCATTTAAAGTAGCTTCAATGCCACACATGCCATTTAAAGCTTGAACCCATGAACAACAAATGCAATTGTTCAATAAAAGTCACTCAATTAGTATTAGGGCATTAACCCAGTATGAAGATTGTAGAATCATATTAAACTTTAGCTGTCATGTTATTTTCAAATGCATTGCAGATTATGCAAAACATAGTACTTCTTTCTTTAAGCTAACACTGGAAAAACATATATCCCCTAAAATTGAACAGAAAAGGAAAAATGAATGGACACAGTGCACCAGCACAGAGACCACAAGACAGAAGGAACACTAAAAATCCGCTTTAACAAAGTAGAAATATTCACACTTAGTTTCATGAAAATTTTAATGGTCACATGCTATTTGGGATCTACTCTTTTTAAGAAAAACTAAGTATATTAAAAAAACACTTAAAAGCACTAGATATTTTGTAATGTTATTTTTATCATACTTTAAACTTGAAATGGAAATTATTATGCATTTTAAAAAACTGACTAAAGGAATGTGAAATCTCTTCAGTTTTAAGATTTCCATTACTTTTTAATATCCTCTCTTACTCATATAAATTCCTCATCCATGATATATGCGTTCCAATATCATTCAGGATGCAAGGAAGGATCTGAATAGGGACTGCTTTACTTATGATTCATCAAGAAAAAGAAAAGCCAAGAAAGAAAAAAACAAAGCAGACTATCTGAAAGAAGGGCCAGAAGGAAAATCTGGGGAACTACAAGCCTGTCAGCCTGACCTTGGTACCACAGAATGTCATGGAGCAGATCATCTTGAGTGTCATCATGCGGCACATACAGGACAACCAGGGGATCAGGCCAAGCCATCATGGGTTTAGGAAAGGCAGGTCCTGCTTAAATGACCTTATCTCCCTCTATGGCAGGGTGATCCACTTAGTGAATGAGAGAAAGGCTGGGGATCTTGTCTACCTAGACCTAGTAAAGCCTTTGACACCATTTCCCATAGCATTCTCCTGGAGAAACTGGCTGCTCATGGCTCAGACAAGTGCACGTATTCTTGAGTAAAAACCTGTCTGGACAACCAGCCTCAGAGTGGCGGGGAATGGAGTTACATCCAGCTGGCAGTCAGTCACTAGTGGGGTTCCCCAAGGCTCAGTACTGGGGCCAGTCCTGTTTAATATCTTTATCAATTATGTGGATGAAGGGATTGAGTGCACCCTCAGTAAGTTTGTAGGTGACACCAAGTTGGGTGGGAGTGTTGATCTCCTCAAGGGTAGGAAGGCTCTGCAGAGGAATCTGGACAGGCTGGATTGATGGGCTGAGGCCAATGGTATGAGGTTCAACAAGGCCAAGTGCCAGGTCCTGCACTTGGGTCACAACAACCCCACACAGCACTACAGGCTGGGGGGAGAATTGACTGGAAAGTTGCTTGGCAGAAAAGGACCTGGGGCCATGGTTGACAGCGGCTGAACATGAGCCAGCGTGTGCCCAGGTGGCCGAGATGGCCAATGACATACTGGCCTGTAACAGAGATACTGCGGTCAGCAGGACTAGGGAAGTGACTGTCCCTTTGTACTTGGCACTGGTGAGGCCACACCTTGAATCCTGTGTTCAGTTTTGGGCCCCTCAAAACAAGACAGACACTGAGGTGCTGGAGCGTGTCCAGAGAAGGACAACGGATATAGTGAAAGGTCTAGAGCACAAGTCTTATGAGGAGTGGTTGAGGGAGCTGGAGGTGTTTATCCTAGAGAAAAGGAGGCTCAAGAGGGACCTTAGCACTCTCTATAACTACCTGAAAGGAGGTTGTTACAAGGTGGTTGTTGGTTTCTTTTCCCAAGTAACAAACAATAGGACAGGAGGAAATGGCCTCAAGTTGTGCCAGGGGAGGTTTAGATTGGATATTAGGAAAAATTTCTTCAAGGAAAGGGTCGCCAAGCATTGGAAGAGGCTACCCAGGGAAGTGGCTGAGTCACCATCCCTGAAGGGATTTAAAAGAAGTATAGATGTGGCACTAGATGCAGTGGACTTGGCAGCATTAGTTTAACAGTTGGAGTTGATGATCTTGAAGGACTTTTCCAACCTAAATGATTCTATGATTTTATTATTCTAAAATATGGTAGATCTTTTATGTTTAAATGTTCAGAAAATGATTAATTACAAAGCAGATTGTTTTGTTACTAAAATAGAAAAGACCACAAGACCCTTTTGGAAGTGGTTTAAATCAGTGAAACTGGAACCACTGAACAATATGAAAGGGTATCTTCAAGTTACTTTAAAAATTGTAGGGATATAATGTAATGATCACTTTTAAAAGTATTTTGTTTTACTAATTATGAAAATGGCTACTGTGACTAGTGCCAAAGTATACTGGTAGCATAACTGGTGATACACCAGACAAGATGAAAAAAAAAAAAGCCTTCACTCAATGGCACTCATTTCACAGGATTTACTCCAGCAAGATTTAAAGTTAGGTAACTCAGAGAATAGAAGTTATATATATAGTTGCATGAAACATGCCAGCAAGTAGGGATGATGCAGAGAGCTCAGAAACCACCTATTTATACACAAATGCAAAATAAATAGTAGGATACTTTAAATAGTAGGATACTTTAGAGAGAACTAAAAAGCTATGAATGAACATGGTTCTATAACTTTGCAAAACTTAAATCTGAAGTACTCCATTCAGATTTGGGCATTTTTTTTATAGGATAGTCCCATTGCTCTACATGGGGCTAAAAGGGGGAAGATTTCAAAATAAGAACAAAGTTAAGAACATAGGTATCTTCTCAAACAGATGTTTAAAATTATGTACTGTGTATTAAAGTGGAAAGAAGAATAACTGAACCAACAAGGTATTTACACAGCAAATGAATACATTTAAAGGGGCATTTCATTTAAAACAAAACAAAAATCAAACCAAAACCTATACAAGAGGGGTGCCAGGTAAGATAACTGATGAAACAAGTAAAACTTGGATATAAAAAGACAAGGAGTATATTTAGAGGGAATGCACAGCAGGAAAATAAGAGGCAAAATAAGACTGAGAAATTAAAAATGTGTCTCTTCTGTCCATTAGCCTAATCAGTCTGTTTTTACAGTCTTTTTTTAAAGCTACTATGCAAATAGATTATACTGTGTAAACTTTAATCACAATAACTCACTACATGATTTGAAATTCCAATTACTTCTAGCTCCAAAAAATTCAATTTGGAAAACAATTTTACTAAAAAGAATTACAGTTTAAGTGCACAGAAAATAATCATACACAGTGCTGGAAATGTCAGTCTAAAATGTGCTACCACTAGGTATCATATGAATATCCTTGAAAGTTAAAAAGACTAAGAAGTTGTAAGACATCTAATTGAGCTGAGAATATATTGACTGGAAAAAATGTATCAAGAAAACTTAATCTGTGAATTTTTGCATCTGTTTTACATTTTAGGATTAACCCCTTAAATAGTCTTTAAATAAATTCAGATGCCTAATCTACCACCCTGTTGAGCTAAAACAAAACCATTAAAATTAATTTACAAAATACAAGCACAAATTCTTACCCTATATAACTTAATTTATTACTACCCTAAATATAAGGGGTTAATCTTCAGTTAGACATTCTGTGTCCACACTACTTCGTCATTAAAAGTTAACAGGCGTATCAATTTTACTAAGTTGTATTACACAGAATGCAATTTATCCAGTCAACTATTTGAAAACTAGTGTGAACACTGCTTAATTCTAGGATAAAGACAAAAAGAAAAAAACCCAAAGTAACAGCAGGCCCTAGGACTGTGCGTCCAAACACCTCCTTTGTAAAGTATGGCAGGTGTGGCACTGAGCTTTAGAAAACCTTGGTCAAAAATCCTTCCGATGTCTTGGTAGCAACCCCTGACAGGAATCAAGACCCTTTGCTAGAAAGCTTAGGACTGGGGCTGTTAGCTAAGGATAAAAAAGTAAAGACATGTGCACATATATATATGCTTTTATAAATATGTACACTTCGTCTGCTGAAGGAAAGAATCCACAACTGGGTTAGAGCCCTTTGAATATATCTGATTTGGTAAACTGTCAAATGCGCAATACTGTAAGAAACAGTAGCTATGTGGTTAGCAGTTTTATTTCACACTAATTTTGGTTTGGTTTTTTTTAGCTTTTTATAATGTAATGGGATTATTACACATCAAACATGTTTATATTCCTCATGCAAGTCTCAGTCTCATCTTTACTTAAACTGCAGGCTAAAAATAAAAAAAAAAAGAAAACTTTAAGCCATTCTAAGACACAGAGCATGAGGAGCTGCAGTAAGAGAAAAACCAAACACATACTATTACTCTGCAGCAAAAAAGCAGAAGTCTTCATAATAAGGCCTCCTTTGCTGCAATAATTTGCAATTCAGTCTTTTATTTGCTCTAGCTTCAAAAGTGAACTTTTTATACTGCTCAGTGTCTTGAAAAGAAATCTAACTTGATTTTGCTTGCCTAGAGACAGCACTCCAGCAGAGAATAAACTCATTTTAACTCAAGTGTGGGTCAGACAAAAGTACAGATATGTTTCCTTTAGGTGGCATAAATTAAGGGTTTGATCATAATAATTTGAAATTTGTTTTCTTTTTAGTCTACATCATAGAATTTTAGGCCAGAAAATGGAAATTTAGTATTGTGGCAGGATCAGTATTGCATCTTTTCACAGTATGTTAATAAGCAAACATGGTGTTTAAGGTTAATTTAATTTAATGCTTAATGTACTTTAATAATCAAATATTTTAAAGCAGTCTTTATGAGCTTAAATAATACATGAAGCCTGATTCAGCACAGAAAATTAAAAGTCATGTTACACTTAGGATTTTCAAAAAACGAGTAAACTAATTGGGTGTCATAGTATATGTACAAAGACTTTATAACTAGGAATAATATGTAAAGCTCAAAAATCATGTACAAAGCACTCTTTAAGACTCCAGAAGTCATCCAAACTAGAGAATGCATCTTGACATTTTTCTTTCTGATTATGTAGGATGGCTTTGTTAACACAGCTTGCTTACAATGCATTAGTCATAGCTACAGAACATTTACTAATGCAATATAAAAATCTGAAGTAATGTAGAGGGCATGTAATGATGAGATGAAATTTTAAAAGTCTCTGTGGCTTATATAAATGCATATATACATGAGCACAAGTATACATACATACAATTTTTTTCAACCTGCATAGAAGTGTTAAGACAGCCTCAGATTTGCTATATGTAGGTTCACTGTCAAACACCAGAACCCTGTTTGCCATGATCTCTTCAACTATGAAAATACAGGATTAAAAGGAAACAAAAGTTAGTTTTATCTGACCCAAAAACAAAAGGAACCAATGTACTGTAAACATTATTCATGCTTGTTGGCTTAAAAGCTTTTAAAGCTTGGAAAGCATTACAAAACAGACCGTAAAGCAACATTGCTGGCACCAGAGAAACTGTGAACTTCAAAAATGCAATTTTATTTACAAATTTCACTTTCTGCTGCAGCTGAAATGACAAAGCCATTTCTTATTTTCCTAGTCTGAGTTTGCCAGTTGGATAGAAGACTGGTTGCAATATCAGGAGCCTAAATATATTCAAAAATAACTCCAGGCCAAAAAGCAACCTCAGAGTGCTGGAAAAAAAATTACATCTTCTTTTAAAATTATAAGCACTGTTGCCATCAAAAATACAAAAGTACATTTTAGGTGGTGCTGCTATTTGGAATATGTCAATGATGGTAATACTGATCTAGCTAAAACTTGAAAATGTGATCTTTCTTTTAGGGCAGGACTGCATTTTAAAGCCAGTTTATAGCCACTTGTTATAAATTAATTAGTTTTACCTATAATTTTATAAGAGGGGTGAAAAAGAATCAAGTTTGTACCTTTTCCAGAAAGGTGAAGTTGGACTTCAAATTAGAATTTTAAAAAATTAAATGCATCTTATAAGCATTTTTTATAGGAAATTGTTCTCTACTGAGACTGCTTGTTGAAAAACAAGGTTTTGATCAAGTACTTTAGTTATGCCAGCATGTTGCCTTCTAGGGCCTCAATGCTATCTTAAGCAGAATAGATAGAAGTAACATCTTTAACAACTTCCCAACCTCTATCCCTCATGTTCTCCTCCCGAATGACTGGAGATGTCAGTGTGATAGTAACTTGCATTTTGGGTTCCACACATGAATTTAAAATTATTGCTGCTTCTGGGACTGCACACTTGATATCATATTTCTCGGGACTTATTACCTAAATATCAAGAAAGAGAAACTTCCATTAGCATGTGGCCAAGAAAAGTAAAGGGAAGAAAATGGATTTCAACATAGCCTTTTTTAACAGAAAGGCAGAAACGCAATATAATTATATGAAGCAAATACCTGTGTATTCAAAGAAACAACAGTATACACAATTAATACATATATATATGGACTTACATACTGTTTCCAAATCATTAATGAAAACACACAGCAGTTGCCAAGTGTGCAAATGAGAAAAAAACAACCAGGTGAAATTCATATAAATAAGTAAATTACATAACAAGAACCTTGACAGCATTTGAGATAAATAAAAGCCTCAGTGGCACTTCAAATGCCAGTTGAATGTTTTTCTTATTGGAACACAGGAGCCTTTAAAAAGCACCAAGATGCAGAGGTGGTTCTTCAAGCTTGCAGTTACAAGTTGGGTACTGAGAGTCACATTCTATACTTGGCTAACACAACATCCTCTGATGAGAGCAAAGGACAAGATTAACACCAGGGGGAAAAAATAGTAAGAGTAACAAGGTGGTCACTCAGAATTTCTTCTTGGGACTAGATTTAATAACTCTAAATACCCCCAAAATAAAGCTGTAGGCACCTTTATCGCCTTCTTCCACAAACTAGAGGAACAAGTGAATTCTCCACAAAGCCAGACCAAGATGTGCAGGTTTAAAGTTTTCTTCTGTTATTTCAAACAAGAGCAAACCCAAGATTATTTTCTAATTATTCTGATCCTGCTAATGCTTCTACCATGCCATGGATTCTGTTGAGCATTTTACCAGACTGCACTGAAGTACTAATGCTGTGAAAAGCATCCTATAGCAATACTAGACAGGCTTTGTTCAGTAGAGAGTACTCAAGCTAAAAACTTTATTCTGTACTTTCATTTATTGTAGAAATACAGCAAATGGTTTATATGAATTTTGCTGAATGGTTTAAGACTACATGTACTTTTTTTTGAAGTGCCAAATAAAAAAAAAACACATACAAGACTTAGTTAACTACTTCTGGGACTACAAAGCGCTGACACATACAAACTGGAAACAAGATGAGTACAAAGAGACTGGCATTAATGGAGAACTTTGACCTTCAGGCAGTGCAAGCTTCCTGTAACATCGCACAAATTACGTCTATCGCTGCTGGTAACTGGATAATCGTCTTTCTTCCGCTCATTTCTATTTCCCAGTTGAAGGAAATCTATTAAATTGTGATTGAAACTACACTGCTAGCATAAGCACCTAGACACTTGTATGGATGCAATATACAGAAAGCAAAACACACAGCATAGTCCCTGAATTCAGACACAGTCAGAAAATGAAAAGAAACTGTACCTGACCTATGAAATGCAGCACAGTCAGCCCGACAGACATTTGACTTGAGGACAGACTTTTATAGTATTTTTACCAAAATTCAGATCCAAAAATCTAAATGTTACTTACTGCAAGTTGTTTGGGAAGACTTTCAGCAATAAAACCAAGTAACATCTTTGAAGGCTTCTCAGCACATAACAAAACAAGATTGACATTTCGGTCTCCACGGAGTAACAAACCTTTAGCCAAAACGCCCACCCGTAAAACTCCTTTCAAAGCTCTGTGAATTATAGTTAAAAGCTGCATTTAAAATACTATAAAAATCATAAAACTAAACATGAAGATAGAAAAATTAAATAAAATAGCAGTATTCCATATACTCTTGAAGCCACAGTGACATATGTCATATTAAAATCCGAAGGGAACAGACTTCCTGAAAGCACTGATAACAGTACAAGGAAAAACATAAAATGGCTTCAGAAAGAAGTCGTAAAATTCTTTAAAAATAAGAAGGAAAAAAAAATACCTGTCTTTACTGCTGTCTTTTTTGTCATCTCCCTCTTTGCTCTTGCTTTTTTGATGGTCAGTCATATTGTCAGAAACAAGTTTCAAAGCACGCTCAGTAATAGAGACAATTTTTTGGACTGCTTGAAGTTCCTCCTCTGTTGGATATATAGCTGCATGTTTGGTCATCACATAGCGGTCATCAGAGGAGTCAGGGCGGCGTAGAGGCTAAACAGATGAAAAAGCACATTTCTGAAATTTGAGTACACAACAGGTAAAGGCAGGTGACTGTTCTGTTCTCATGAGGCCCCACCTGGAGTACTGAATCCAGCTCTGGCAATCTCAACATAAGAAGGATGTGGACCTACTGGAGCAAGTCCAGAGGAGGCCACCAAGATGATCACAGGGCTGGAGCATCTCTCCTAGGAAGACAGGCTGAGAAAACTGGGGCTGTTCAGCCTGGAGAAGAGAAGGCTCTAGGGAGATCTTAGAGCACCTTCCAGTACCTAAAGGGGGCCTACAAGAGAGCTGGAGAGGAACTTTTTACAAGGGCATGTAGTGAAAGGACAAGGGCTTTAAACTGAAAGAGAATAGGTTTACATTAGATATTAGGAATAAATTCTTTACTGTGAGGGTGGTGAGGCCCTGGAACAGGCTGTCCAGAGAAGTTGTGAATGTGCCATCCCTGGCAGTGTTCAAGCCCAGGTTGGATGTGGCTCTGAGCAACCTGGTCTAGTGGAAGGTGTCCCTGCCCATGGTAGGGGGTTGGAACTAGATGACCTTTAAGGTCCATTCCAAACCAAACTATTCTATAATTCTATAATATACTTTCAAGTTCACAGGTGATGTGTGACCAAAAACCAAACATGGCCAAACAACAGAATATTCAAACCTCAAATTATTGAGATGTAAGGAAACATAAAGTATCCTTAATAACTTACACTGGTCACAATCAATCATATCTGTAAAAAACATGAGATGTATTAAAAAAAATAAATTGGGAAATCCCAGGATCAAAAGTACCTCCCCAACATAAATATCTATTGTCTTTCTGTTAACTGGGAAATACTTGCATACTGCCATAAAATAAAGTATCCATGATTACTTTCATAGAATCACAGAAAAATTCAAATAGAAAGGGACCTCAGGAGGTCCTCTAGTCCAGCCTCCTGTGGAAACCATGGTCAGCTATAAGACTATATCATGTTGCTCAGAGCTTCATCCAGTTGGTTCTTGAAAACTGCCAAAGAGGGACCTTCACAACATCTGTGTGGAGAAAAAAAGAAAAAAAATCCTGTATTCAGTTTGCACTTTTTTTGTCTCAGCTTAAGCTAGTATATCTCACCCTCTCACTGTAAAGAGCCTGGCTCCATTATCTTTATAACGCACAGGTATTAGAAGGCTATTACATCCCACTGAAGCTCTCTTCTCCAGCCTGAACAGGCCCAGATCCCTCAAGTCTCTCCTCACAGGGCACACTACAGACCCCTGATCCCAGCAGCCACACCTGCTGTAGTTTATCAGAATCTGTCTTGTACTGGAAAGTCCAAAACTGAATGCAGTATTGCAGTTTGGGTCTCATGAAAGTGGATCACTTCCTTTTATCTCCTGGTTATGCTTCTGTTAATATCACCATGGATGCTATTAGCCTTGCTTGCTGCCAGGGCACATGGTTGGTTCACATTCAGCTTACTACCATCTGCCAAGAACCCCAGATGCCTTTCAGCAGGGCTTCTATCCAGCCCTTCAGTGCAAGCAGTTATGCCCTCCCAAGTGTAGCATTAGGCATTTGTCCTTGCAGAATTCCATAAAGTTCCTGTTGGTCCATTCTTCCAATCTGTCTAGGTCATGCTGGATAGCAGCCCTACCCTCAAAGGTATCAACTGTTCTCCCTACTGGAACCAATTCAGTTTCATGTCAGCTGCAAACCTGATGAGCACGAACTCACTCCATCACCTTTCAGATCATTGATGAGATGCTAATGAGACAAATCCCGGGATAAACACATGCAGCACTGCACTTGTTTACTGACCTCCAGGTAGAGTATGGCCCACCACTAAACCATTATCCTCTGGGACTGATGATCCAACCACTTTTTATCCATACATTTGTCCACAATTAGATAAATAAAAGTATAATGCAATTAAATAAGAAGTAGTACACAAATCCAGAGTGACTTGTATTTCAGAAGAAACAATATTTGTCTTCAAGGCATCCTTTTGTCATATAAGTGGGCTTATTTTCAAAGCGGTCCAACTACAGAGTTTCATTAGTATATAATTTTTTCTTCACTTTTCTATATGCTTTATTAAGAAACGCTGGAGACAACTGAAGTAGCACTGAATAATTTATAGTTCTTAACTGTGCGTCTTGGTAAGCATTTTCTTCTTTCTTTTTTTCCCCTCAAGCTAAGAAACTCACGGCTGGTCCTTGGGGCTGAGGAGGCATTCCTGGCCTAACTCCCAGCAGGCCTAGAGATCCTGGAGGACCATGAGGATATCCTCCATCTGGTATTCTGCGATGGTCATCCCAGTGATGCTGCTCTTCCTCCATTCTCCTCCAGTACATGTCCTCTTCATATCGCCTGAAGTACATCAAAATGTCCTCTTTATATAGCAGCTAATACTTCCAACCATTCTAAATAAATTCTTGGATGTTCTCACTAACTCATTTCTAGTAATCAAGAACAAATAACAATGAACTCCAGAGGGTACCTAAAATGAATGGTTATTTTGAAAGCAGGTCTGAATTCATAGGGAATAATTCTAGCGAGTCTACATTCCTCAGAGAGATTGAACAAAAAACCCAAAACAAAACAAAACAAAAAAAACCCTGAGGGATAATGACAACTTAATTTAAAACAAGACAGTATAGAGCTCCCAAAACAAGTATTTAAAATAAGTAATTACAGATGAAGAGTTAGTTTTAGATAATCTGACTGCAACTTTGTCTCATTTGCTGATAAAACAGAATGCACTACCTCATTTCCATCCTCCAGTGTTCTTCCTCTTCTCGCCTTCTCCAGTATTCTTCTTTCTGCATCTGTTTCCTCATCTTCTCTTCTTGAATTTTTCTTGCTCGAATACTGGGCTTTACTTCTACTTGTAAATCTGGGTTTACTTTTTTCTAGTTCAGAAAAATAACAAATGAAATGTTGGTTAGCCTCTTATCATCTCAAGGTTATGGAGTTCTTCTGACATGTTAAGCACACACTACGAGTCTATGATAAAATCAAGGGGAGTGAAATGCAGTTTTAGAACCGCACTGAAAAAACAGCTGAAGAAAAATCTGTGTCTGGTATTTTAAAGGAAAGAAACAGCAATGTACTACATATAGCATGAATTCCTTTTTCAGCTATGTGAGAAAAAAACTATCTAAAATTAAAATGTTGCATGAAATACTAAGTAATTTGCTGTTCATTCTGTAGCAGGATGATTACAATATAGCCTGAAAAAAAACCATTTCATCTTAACTACTGTGCGCTTCCTGATGCCCTGTTCCTGAAGGGTCCCTCATACTGGACCATAATCATAAGACACTAAATAAATTTTTCTGGCAATTTTTTCTTTCCTCTTCTTTCATCCCTTTCATGATTATGCAGGCCCATTGTATCTCCTGTGACCACGGTAAATTCTTTTTATATAATCTTAATAATAATGAAAATGCACACCATGTGTCACTATAGGTGTCTCTCCATTCATGACTAAAATGTCTGCAAATACTTGTTTCTCAAATGTCTCTATAAGGGGTTTATGTGGTTTATCCTGCCAAAAACATTGACCCTTTGAAATTTACGGTAAGCAACAAAGCACCTATTATTGCTTGCACACACTGTACAATATTTTAATGCTGGAAAAAAAATGCCTGAAAGCAATATTCAGAATGTTTAAAGCAACACCCAAACAAAAATGCAGTTTCAGTTTGCATTACAACTTTAAAGACTATACTCCCTCAGAAATATATTTCTCTAGCTTTTTTTATATGCTGTTTAGTCAGAGCACCTACTTCTGACTAGTCTTTAAATATAAGAACATGTAATCAGTCAGCTGACATCTGGTAGACTTCCAGATTAAAGTATTAGCATTTTTACCAACCTTATACTGAAGTCTGTGCCGCCTCCCTTTTAAGTGCATCTCTTTGGCATTAGGATCATTAAAACTGCATTCACAAAGTTTACAGTGAAAGCGGATCACCTTTCCTTCATCATTTCTTACCTGGAAAATAAAAGTTATAAAACACATTTACTTTTTTTTTTAACAAAAGCTGATTTGAAAATTAATCTAATTCAGTGACACTGGGTAATGTCTACCCATCTCAAAACATGCTTAAAACTTCACACAGGAACTGAAAAAAGGCAAAATAGAACTTTCAATTCTGACAGACACACCATGGTGTTTGGTAAGGAACAAAGTTCTTCAACAGCTTTAAACTTGAGCCCGAACATAATGAGTTGAATAATTACAAACTATGAAAAATTTGCATCATATTTCATCCACATATCTCATTCCACCAACATGAAGAATGCCCCACTGAGGTCAAAAGAAACATGCACAGTACAAAAATGTAAACATATGCACAAGCCTTTGCAGGTTCAGTGCCTTGTAACTCTTATCTTCAAGAAGGACCCAGGGAATTACAGGCCAGTTAGCCTCACCTCAATCCCTGGGAAGGTGATGGAGCACCTAATTCTGGACACCAGTTCCAGGCACATTAAGGACAAGAAAATCATCATCAGTAGTCAGCATGGCTTCACCAAGGGAAAGTCATGCTTGTTCAACTTGATAACCTTCTGCAATGAAGTGACTGGCCTGGTAGATGAGGGGAGAGCAGTTGATGTTGTCTACCTGGACTTCAGTAAGGCCTTTGACACAGTCTCACCATAATATCCTCATAGACTAACTGTTGATGTAAGGGCTGGATAAACATACAGTGAGGTGGATCAAAAGCTGGCTGAATGGCAAAGCCCAGAGGGTGGTGATCAGTAGAATGAAATTTAGTTGAAGGCCAGTAGCTAGCAGTGTATCCCAGGGCTCAATGTTGGGTCCAATTCTGTTTAACATATTCATTATTGATCTGGTGATTGGGCAGAGTGCACCCTCAACAAGTTTGCTTATGACACAAAACTGAATGCAGTGGCTGATATGCCAGAGGGTTGAGCTGCTGTCTAGAGAGATCTCAGCAGGCTGGAGAAACGGGCTGACAGGAACCTTGTGAAGTTCAACAGGGAGAAGTACAAAGTCCTGCATCTGGGGAGGAACAGCCTCATGTGCCAATATATGCTGGGGGCCACCCACCTGGAAAGCAGATTGACAGAAAAGGCCCTGGGGGTCCTGGTGAACACTAAGTTAAACTTGAGTCAACAATGTGCCCTTGCTGCAAAGGCAGCAAATGGCATTCCAGGCTGCATTCAACAAAGTATTGCTAGCAGATTGAGAAAGCTAATCGTTCCTCTCTCACTCAGCACTGGTGAGGTCATACCTGGAGTCTTGTGTCCAGTTCTGGGCTCCCCAGTGCAAGAGAGACATGAACATAGTAGAGAGAGTCCAATAAAAGGCCACAAAGATGATGAAGGGACTAGAACCTCTCTCCATATAATAGTTAAAAAATAATCCATGTTTTCATATCAATACCTCCTCCACATAGTCATGGCCCACTGGCTGGACATCACTTTGCAAGGCAGCAAGATTCATAGATGTCACTGGTTCAGCTGCTGTGTCTGGTTTTACTTCCTGTGTTTGTATTGTAGCAGCAGTTGTTGCTTTAACACTTTCAGCTGATTTCATTTCTTCCAGTTTACTTCCTGTTGTCTGAAGTTTATTACCACCTACAAATCAAAAAAGTTAAATCTCTAACTTTCATAAAATGAGAATTATACATGATGTGCAAACTGAAGAGTTTATTTGCAAGTATCAGTGTTCTGGTCAAAGCATTATCAGTCTGAATTTTAGTTAAACTAAACATTTTTAAATACTATTAAAGTTTTGGTTTTTTTAAAGCTAAACAAAAACTTATTTAAAAACCTAGTTTTTTATTTTAGCAAGAAATCTTTTGCCTTATATAGTTGTAATTGTAATTTTCATGCTTTTTCAAGAGATAGGACTGAATGGGAACAACTCAGCAAATATATTTTAAATTTTTTTGTCATCAGATTTGTTTTCTTTTTGCAAATAGATCCAAGAAAGTACAAACATTAAAAGGTTTTGAGGGACTAAAAAAGACAGCATACTTTCAGTGTTGCAACTGCATAGATCTTTCCTTTGAGAGCAAGTTAGCTTACTATTGAACAACTGCTTTCTGTCTCTAAATGTCTGTCATGCTTATTTCATAAGTTTCCACTGTTAAATTTCCAGTGTTACAATAATGTTTCAGTTTCCCAGTTACCAATTGCCAACCTACTGCAGGCTGTGTTAACAGGCCAGGCTGTGAACTGAAATTAGAAGCAACTGGACTATAATCTGCAATACTCCAGCAGCTACTACAGAAGAAACCAAAGGTGGGAGGCTTTTTCTGAAGGTGGGAGAGGCCTCCAGGAGAGGACAGGTGAAGACAAAAGGGCAGAAAACAGTATAAACTGTGAAGCAAAATTTTGAAACACATTCTTATTTTCCCCATTAGTAATAATTCTCGTAAACACAACAGAATTACTCATGCAGAAGTTAATTAAATATATTTGTACTTGTTGCACTAAAATATTTTTAAAAACTATAGAATAGGTTAGGTTTAAAATAAAGACTGACTTCTGTACTTGCCAACAAAGTTTATTTTTGGTGGAGATATTTTCTTTACAGCTATATTAGCAGCGGTTGAAGATGTTTTGTTGTTGGACACAGTGTTAAGTGGTGCATTTGCCGTGGGAGTAAGAATTTTCACTGTAGAGGATGCGACAGAGGAGTTCACAGTACTGCTGCTAGTTGCTATATTTGAAGCAGAAGCAGATGGTTTAGAAGCAGATGTGGATGTTGAAGTTGCAGCTTGGGTAGCCACATTTGGTTCAGTTGATGGAATAGGTTTGCCAAGTTTTGTATGCAACTTTACTACCTATAAAAATAACAAGAAATTAATAATATTATCTCCCTGGGGTTGCTATAAAAAATTGAACTTGTTATAGGTTATTGAAGCTTTAACAAAAACATCAATATCACCAGTGATATTGATATTTTTATTTTATTTCAAAGTTATTGCCTTTTTTACTAAAAGCAGTTTCAGGAGGAAAAGAAAGGGACATGCAAAAGTTCTTATCGTCTGTGATGAGGAAATAGTTAATATTTATCTCAGGTTGCTTATTTCCCCTATAAATTCACACATTTACTCCAAAAGCTGTGTAAATAAGAACAGAAAGTCAATAAACTCACAAGCCAGTAAAACTCACAAAACAGTTTGGGCAAAATGTTTCCAACGTGACTATTTTGTTGCCTGGTTGCTTTTTATTCTCCCTCCAAAAATTGTAGTATGCTGAACTATTTTAGTTATTTTAGTTCCAAATAATATTTGTAAATAAGTTATTTAATTCAGATTCAACACTGTCTCTTTTCATCACTACATTTTAAGAATATTTATAGACTTTCCAGGTTACCTAGCAAAATGGAAGATATTCCTTGGACAAAGGCTTTCTTTTCTTTTTGTTAAAGCACATCTGCAGAAAGAGTTAAGGAGGATGCAAAAGGCATATTTCAGAGCTCTTTATCTCCTTGAAAGTTAAGAGGTATGTGCTTATTGTTAGAAGTAATAAGCAGAGGCCTTTTTACAACACACTTGAGATAGAATAATACTTCTTTTTGGTGACAGCTAACCATCACCTGAAAAAGCAATACATGCAGTCCATAAGAACAAAACATGCAGAATGAAAACTGGAGACTGGGTTTGAAAGCAGCAGTAAAAAAAATGCAAATCTGCTAGCTATGTCTTTAATGCAAATACATGTACACAATCAGGTTCAACAAGGTGAAGTAGCAGATCCTGCACTTGGGTCGCAACAACCCCCTGCAGCGCTACAGGCTTGGGGAAGAGCAGGTGGAAAGATGGAATAGGAGCAAGGAGTGTTGGCCAACAGCCAGCTGAACTTGAGCCAGCCTGTGCCCAGGTGGTCAAGATGGCCAATGACATACTGGCCTGTAACAGAGATACTGCGGTCAGCAGGACTAGGGAAGTGACTGTCCCTTTGTACTTGGCACTGGTGAGGCCACACCTTGAATCCTGTGTTCAGTTTTGGGTCCCTCAAAACCAGACAGATGTTGAGGTGGTAGAGTGCATCCAAATAAGGGCAACAAAACTGGTAAAAGGTCTAGAACACAAGTCCTATGAGGAGCAGCTGAGGGAGCTGGGGCTGTTTAGCCTGAAGAAAAGGAGGCTCAGATGAGACCTTATCACTCTCTACAACTACCTGAAAGGAGGCTATAGCCAGGTGGGTGTTGGTCTCTTCTCCCATGTAGCAAGAGCTAGGACAGGAGGAAATGGCCTCAAGTTGTGCGGGGAGAGGCTTAGATTGGATATTAGGAAAAATTTCTTCACTGAAAGGGTTGTCAAGCATTGGAAGAGGCTACCCAGGGAAGTGGCTGAGCCACCATCCCTGGAGGGATTTAAAAGTCATGAAAGACATGTAGATGTGGTGCTTAGGGACATGGTTTAGTGGTGGACTCGGCAGTGTTAGTTTAACAGTTGGAGTCAATGATCTTAGAGGGCTTCTACACCCTAAATAATTCTATGATATGCACACAAGTGTATACATACACTTCTTAGCTTTTTATTCTTATTTTAAGCATGTTCCTCATCAGAATACAGACATATTAATGTCATGTAATATTACAAATTTAAGTTCAAGAAACTCTTCCAGATTAATTTTTTCCCACTAGAATGCACAAGATTCTTCGGTGTACCAAAGAAAGAGTCCTTTGAGATTTCATTTTTACAAAGATGACAACCTAACTTAGTATTAGTTAGCAACTATCTATGAGGAAGAGAAAAGGACATCCAAATATACAAAGATAATATATTATTGTACTCCATATACCTATGGAGTTATTGGGCACAACACAAAAATTTAATGACTCAACTTCATTAATGAAAGAACAAACTAGGCAAATCTATATAAATGATAATTTTTGTTCTTCTACTAACAAAAAAAAATTTGGAAAATTATTTTAAATTTGCTATGAGATTTATTTACTTGAATAGGAATGATATTACTGATGCCACTTTGTACAGTGTTCTGAGATACAAAGGTCTATAAAAGCTGAATATTATTACGTTGTTACTTACATTAATAATTCCACAGCTTTGAGGAAAATCTGTAATATGGGTGATCAAGAGAGACAGGGAAGACTTTGAGATGATCAAAGAATCTGATTTTATTGTGGGATACAAATGCTTATATAGTATTTTAGGAAGGCTAGTAATGTTTTACTACAATGATTGGGTTAAAAATCGCATAAATAAACTTATGCATTTTACAACATCTCCTGCTTGCAGAATTTGAGGTAATTTTCTTTTTCCTGTAAATCCATCTGATTTAATCTTCTTGCAATCTTGATTTAATTCTCAAAGTTCTGTTTGGTCTTGCCAAGGCATTTTATTTATCAAATCTCTTATGTTAATAAGGTCCAAAGTACTCTCTGTTTTGTGTACCCCAATACTGTAATATCTAAACATGCATTCTACACTGCACCATTCCCTTTATTGTCGTATGACCAAATTTAGAACACAAGTCACAGGAGTTCACAGTGCAGCTCGTAGTCTTTATTCTAAAATGTTCACCTAACTGCACACAGACAATAGGGGAAGCATGCTTACCAAAATTCTTTAAACATGCTCATAAAATCTACTACAGGACATTGTTCCTTGTTTCCAGATGCCTTTTTTTTTTTTTTTTGCAAGAAATACCAAAAAGTGATACATAATAATCTCATTTCTTGGCACTGACTCAGTTTACAGTATTTCAAAGCACAGAGCACTTCACAGTGCCAAATAAGAATGTCAAGACAAGTCTTGAAAAGTGTTAGGGGGCACAAGCATGCTACTGCATGTCCTCATTGACACTTTTCCCCATCTTGCTCTATACCTTCTTCCTACTATTTACATACCTTTCCCAATATATCCTCTTCTCCTTGATGCTGTGGCAATATGTTTTCCCCCTTTCTCCCAACAAGGCCCTTGTACTAGTGAGCTTAAAGATAATTTTGAAACAAAAAGCAGAACTGTCTTTAAACAAAATTCTAATTATATTCTTTCTGCGTATTTTCTCCTAAAATGAGAAAAATTATGGGAAGAAATATATGACTGACTTGTATAATATAGATGAGAGAAAGTTCTTACTTTCTGATGTTTGGCTCCACGGATATGGGCAGCGTAAGCATCTGCTCCTGTACAAGACACATCACAAAGCTCACAGCGCAACTGATTCTGAGTTCCACGAGCAGAAGTACTGTTGTTATTGGTGTTCTGGGAAGCTTTTAATGCCGCTTCTTTCTTTTTGTGTTTCTGGCCTTCTAAGTGTTCTTTATAAGTCTGTTTAAATAAAAAATACACACAGCTGGTTTTGAACTGTTTGTTCATCATTCATGTGTATACATGTAATATAGAGCATAGCATAAAAGACATGTTTTGTATGAAAAATACTTCCTACACTGAACATTGCTTCCCTATGACATGTTTTAAGGCATAAGTAGGCCACTTCCAAAACCAAGATATTTTCTTCACCACCAGGATTCCACTCTTGGGTAATACAAAACGGTCTTTACTCCTCTACCTTCTCACTTCCTCAGTCAAGTACTGGTCAACATATATTACCATTGAAAGCCTGATAAGATCAGAAAACTGTCTCAGTTGCATTTTCCCACATTGCATTGAATTATTCTTGATTTTGAATTTTCCTCAAACTGCAAGACCACAGTTATTAAATGTATTCACATAACTAAAAAAGCAAATTCAAAAAAAGGTAGCGCATAAATAAAGCTATGCTGAAAATAAAATACAGAAGTTGCTATTTGTTCCTATACTAACACTGGCAATCTATGGAGCAGACAGGGTAGAAAATAATGACTAATTTACCTAAAGAGTGAGAACTGTTTTGCCAAACACACACACAAATATTTCATTGATCGATATCTACTTTTTTATGCACTTGTATCCCCTTTGAAAATAAACTGGGATGCTGGAAAAAAATGAATACATTTTCAGGATTACCATCGCGTTCCTTTAACACAATATGGCTTTCAGTGGGGCCAGAGGAACCCACAGAGGCTGCTTCTGAGAGAGAAGCTCCTCAAAACTTCGATGTCCAGTAGAGCAAATCCCTGAATACTCTGACAATGGACATATTGGCTGGCCCAATTACAGAAGTTAGTAATGCTTCTGTGATGACATATTTAAAAACAAAAAAACATGTGCAAGCTCTCTTTCTTTCTCCCCTCAGAGGGGTGGTGAGAGGGCCGCCAGGCCCCTTCCTGGTGTGGCCGGGACTCTTTTTGGCGTGGCCACTGAGGCTGTGCTGCTGGGACACTATCCCAGCACCGCGAGCAGCCACGGGGCCGAGACCATGTGGCCATGTGGCCAGTGCCCAGAGCGCTCATGCGGCGGAGGGCAGCTGTTGCCATCCTGGCGCTGGGAGCGGCCGCATGGCTGGGATCGGTGCAGCTGGGGTGGTGCCACGCGGCAGCTGCCATCTCAGCATGGCTCGCAATGAACTTTACTTGCTTAGACACTTTTAGCGCAGCCATGCTGCGAACAAGAGGGCAGAAGCAGCAGTAGCTTTTCCTTTTCGGCGCCCCACATGAGGACAGGTGCTGACTGGAACTGGCAGCCGAAGCAGCTCATGCGGTGCCAGCGGGGACCACATGACCAACAGTGAGAGGCATAGCAAGTAATTCTCCAATGTGGAGCCTAGACAGGCTCAACCTTTCCGCACTGTGGAACTCTATAAAAACTTTTCAACTGATAGAACTTGAGAACAAATGAACCTATGGACACCAATTTTCTCCCAAGTCAGAGAAAAGGAAAAGGTGAAGACACATGAGGAGAACAACATGGTGACACTAAGGTCGGTGAAAAATGAGGGAGGAGGAGGAGATGCTCTGGGCATTGGAGGTGAGATTCTTCTGCAAGCCATGGTGAGGACTATAATACAACAAATGGGGTTTTTTCCCTGTAATTCATGAAGTGCATGGGGGATATGTAGAAGTCTACTTGCAGCCTGTGAGAAAAGATACGCTAGAGCGTGTGAATGCTGAAAAGCTGTAATTTAGTGACAAACTTGAACATAGAGAGAGGACCTTTGCTTCCAGGAAAAAAGGAAGAGGACCCTTGCTTCCAAACTAGAACAACTCATCCTTAAAAGACTGTATCCCATGAACTAAATGACCCATGCAAACAGTTGTGGGAAGACTATTTGCCTGTGGGAAGGACTCATGTTGCAGCAGGTTGGGAAGGACTGCTACTTGTGAAAATTAGAACCATGTTGGAGAAGTTCACAGGGAACTGTCTCCTGTGGGAAGGACCCCATGGCACAGCACTCCTCTCCCTAAGCGAACTGAAGAAAGATTTTTAGAAATGACAAACTGACTAAAAACCCCATGTTTTGTCTCCCTGCACTGTTGGTGGGAAGGAAAGAGGGGAGGGGGGGAAAGGTGCTCTAAAGGTTTATTTTAGTTCTCATTATCCTCTTTTATTTCTGTTAATAAATTTTTCTTTATACCTTTTAAGTTTTGAGCCTGTTTTGCCCTTAGAATGTTTTCTCCTAATTCTTATCTCACCCTGCGAGCCTTTTAGTTTTTCTTTCCCCCTCCTCTGCTCAACTACAGCAGAGGAGAATGAGTGAATGGTTTTTGTGGGTGCCTGGCTTCTAGCCAGTGTCAAACCATGACAACCATTCACAAAGTTTTGAAAAAAGTCTTTTCTAAGAAGTTTGCTATGTTAAAAAGAAAATAAAATTCAAAGTTTAGAATACTTCTGGAGTCGAAAGCACAGCTGAAGCTTCTCTGTCCAAGCTAAGGAGATGCATCTTTTTGTCTTCTCTTATGGCCTCTTTCTGTCATAGCATACATTTTCATTTAATTATTCATTTAGTATAAGTATAGAATCAGGTCTTTAAAAATTAACAAATATTCTAAAAGGGGCCATTTTTTTAGCTGGAAAAAATTATGACTAAAGCATATAGCAGGATATTACATAATACAGGTACCTGTGGTCCAGCACAGCTGATCTTGCAAACATCACAGTAGTGGATCTGGGGTGGTTTGGGAGGTTGCTTTGGTTTCAGTTGCTTATTTTGGAACGGTATCTTTTTAGTAAAGGTGGTCCCTGTCCAAGCAGCTGTTGCAGCAGCAGCAGCTGCTGCCGCTGCCTGTTTCTGCTGCTGCTGCTGCTGCTGGTAATACGATGATGCAGCTGAATATACTGCAGCTTCATAGCCAGAATAAGAGGTACCTCAAAGATTAAAATAAATGTTACATCACTGTACATCACGTATCAATTACATAATACACTAATTCCAAGCATATTGCATAATAGAGTAGGATATAAAAGATTTATTGAGATCTTGTCAGGCAGTCTGAATTTTTCTTGATGTTTCACAGTACACAAATACATAGCATGCCATTTGTATCAGGAGTCTATTTGATTTTAGACAAAACTTTGCAGACACACTGTTCTGTTAAATATATCAAAGCATCCCTAAAGAATATGTGAAATTTCCTGGTACATCTGGTAAGACTGAGTATGATGAAACAAGAATTTTAATAAAAGATTGTCCTGGGGTGACGTTATGATGCTTGTATCCCCATTCATCTGTTCTGTGCCTTTAAGATCGGCTTTGAAGAGTGGAAGTTTTGTTTGGGTTTCTCTTAGGGACACAGAGACGGGCAGTACATAGGGCTGTTTTCACTTCTTGCTTTCAGCTTGCTGCTTTGCTTGCTCTCTTTTCTGCTCTCGCTTCTTCTCTGCTTTGGCCTCTGCTTATTAGCTAGCTCTAGCTAAACAGTCCAAAATCCTTCCTGGACTGTTTCTCCTCTCCTTTTCTTCGACCATCTCGAACCTGCTCCGGACTGGGACCTGGGAACATCGAGAGTTTGCACCGTTTTGGCCTGCAGCAGCTGCCCCAGTGCTGGAGGGACTGAGAACAGAGCAACCACCCCTGAAAGAGACTTTCTGATTTTGTCATCTTTCTCAGAGCAGTGTCATCGGGTATTGTTCATTTTGTGTGCTGGGGGGTGCTGGGCCAGTCAAATAAACAGGTTCTTTCCACCTCTCTCCGAGGAATTTTTTTTCCCCGAACTGGTTGGGGGGAGGGGCCGTGTGGGTTTTGCTTTCTGGAGGGGCCCTCCTTTGCAGATTCTTTAACAAGTTTGCCCTAAACCAGGACAAAGATTTATCAAAGGTCACTTGAAATAAGCAGTCTTCCAGAGCCAGATTAACTGTTCAAGTTCCAAAGAGAAAAGGAAAGATATTATGTAGACTAAGGGAAAAAAAAATAAGATAAAAGATAGAATGTAATAGCATTAGCTGTTCTATTTCAAATGAGTTGCAGCACACCCTGTCTAGACACTCCTTGATTTCTAGTATCAAACTTTAGTAAATCAAGGAAACTGGGCTTTCATACCTTTTGATCCAGTATTCCCATAAACTTTATAGATCTACTCATTCAACTATTTTAATCCTCTAATCAAGCTCTGTTTCGATGAAGTCTTACAATCCCTTTTTAAACTGAAAACAAACCAAAACAAATAGTTCAAGGTAGCTATAATATGCCAGTTAATTACCATCTGGCCATAAAATTAACATCTTCTCACCTTTAACTACTTTTTGGATTTCTAGTGTTTGAAGGAAAGTTTTTCTTTGTAGCACCCATTCTCCTCCCATCTTGGGTCAAGACAACCCAAACTTAAAAAATTTATATTTGACTGCTCCTCCTTGTCTCTGTAATTGCTGCTTGATGGCAGCATGCTCCAAATTTCCCAAGATTATATTTGTATTTCCATGTTTTTTCTATCCCCCATCTTTTCTCTCCAAACTTCACAGTAAATCACAAAATATTTGTGCATGTAGTAATGCCAACACTGTATATTCTCACATGGAACAAAATAGGCACATACAAGCATCAAACCTCTTTGGAGATACATAAAAATATTTTACCATTATTATGATTTAACTGGTTGATATTTCTCTATAGACTATGAAGCAATTGAACATAAACTGCTAAAATGCTGAGTATTTATATCCTCTCCTGTAACAAATGCAAAGATCCCAACAATATAATATGCAAAATTCTTACCAGAGTAAGTAACCGCTGTTGTACTGTATGTTGCACTTTGAGTATAGGATGGAACAACAGTAGCTGCAGCTGCTACTGGCTGCACAGTAGAAGATACTGGATATATAGAAAATGTAGTTGTTGCTGGACTTGGGGTTGCAGGTTTTATAGCTGTCACTTGTCGTGTTTGCTGGGCTTGGGTATACTGAGTTGCCCCTTGGCTATATCCTGCTTTTGGAGCTAATTAGGATAGAAAATAGAAGTGTACAAACATTGATATGCTTTAGCTGAATAAAATGCAAAGCATATGAAGCGATACTTAATGATATGCTAGGGAATAAACACATTAACATGGTGGGTTTTGTTTTAGTTTGGTTGGGTTTTGCCTTTTTTTGATTGGGTATTGTTTGGTTTTTTTACAGTAATGGTTATGCTTCAGTTACCATATATCCCACAATGGTTTAATCACATCGAAGCTCACACTAGCAAGCCTCAGATTTATTTATGTATTTTTAACTGTGCTGCCATGTTTTTAAACAACCTTCTCCTTCAATGGTTTCACTGGAGTACACACTAAACCAAAGTACATCTAAACTTGGCTATTATTTCTAATTATAGTAAAAGAAAAGTAAATAGGATTTATGTTTTGTAGCATTTGTGATATCGATAATTAAAGAACTATATACATTAACTGAAAAATTTTTTTAAAAGTCGTTCTAACCAAGTTAGCATCTGAAACCAGCACTGACTTTTTCAACCTACTTCAGCAAAAATTTTTGCCTAGAAGTATGTTTTGAGTATATTAATAACAAGCCAAACCTCAAAGATAGTTACTTATGGCAATGTCACAATAATGTTCAAGTTCTAGGTGAATCAAGTTTTTTCTACATATTGACAGGGATTACATGTCAAAACAATAAATAAATCTGATAATATGAAATCATCAAAGACATATTTTAAGCTATTAAAATAGTATACAGACTGTATATAATGACAGGAGTTAATTCATGCCACCTACCTGTCTGGTAGTATGACTCAGCCACTGAAGGCTGAGGCTGTGCAGCAGCAGCTACAGCCGCAGCAGTTGCTGTTGGCTGTTGATAATATTGTTTGCTGTCATAAGCTACAGCTGGGGCAGTAGATCGAACATAAGAATAGGAATCCTAAAAATTCAAAAAAGAAAACCCATCAAATTTCTCCTTAACTATATATCTGGAATAAGAAAAATCATTAGCAGAGTCAAAGATTTTTCTTCTATTCTACTTAAGTAGATTTAAAAAATATTTACAGATACATTATATACCAATATATGTATTAAAGAAATTAAATTTATGTTTACAGATACTTCAGGCCTGAAGACACGCCTGAATGGTCTTTTTCAGGCATAATATAGGAGTTAATCTCATGCTATTAAACAACTTTTCCCCTTCCAAATTATTTTTGTTACCAAAAAGCAGCTCAGTGCACACTAGTTTTCCATGACTATATCAGACTGCATTCCTGTAAAATACGAAGGAAAAAACCCACCACAGATCTCCACAAACCACAATATATTCACAAGTTTAAAACATGGAACCATGGCTTGGCCCTCCCTGCGACAGGAAGAGCCACCAGAAAAAAATATCAAGGAGGTCCTATATTTTTCCCTTTGGGCAGGTAGAAGGCAGTAGCTCAAAGAAAAGGGGTGAATGGAGGCAAGTCCTCGCTCGGGGCAGCAGGTGAATCCCCTCCTTGCCCACCTCACCCTCTTAGGTGCCTCTGTACAATAGGTACGAAGATGTAGAAGGTCAGTCAAAGGATGATGAGGACAAAGGTCCATCTATGCCAGAGGTGTTGCCAGAATCAGAAAGGCCTACCCTCTGTATAACAACCACCTCCATGAGGAAAAGACAGGTTGCAGCTGTAGGCAGTTGCCTTCTAAGGTGAACAGAAGGTACAATATGCTGGATGGATCCTCCTCTTAAGGAAGTGTGCTGCCTCCCTGGGGCCAGGGTTAAAGACATGACTGGGAAAGTTCTCTAGCCTGGTACAGCCCTCAGAATACTACCCATTATTAGTCTTCCACATGGGTGGTGATGAAATCACAATACGTAATCCAAGGGCAATCAAAAGAGACTTCAGGGGCTTGGGATAGCTGGTAAGGGAATATGGAGCACAGGTTATTTTCTCCTTTATCCTCCCAGTTGTGGGCAGAGACATTGGAAGAAACAGATGAACCCAGTCTAATACATGGCTCTATGGCTAGTGTCACTGCCACAATTTCACGTGTTTGTATAATGGAATGGCCTATATGACACAAGGCATGCTGGAATCAGATGGGATTCCCCTTTTACAAAAGAGAAAGAGGGTCTTTGCTCAGGAGCTAGTAGCACTCATTGATATAGAGCTTTAAACCAGACATGACAGGGGAGAGGGATAATATCAGGCTTGTCCTTGACAAGCGGTGGGACAACACATCAAGATTAGAGGGATGGAGTGATAGCGAGGGCCTTCAGCCAGTGACTCTGAGATGTGCTAGCCACACTGAAGCACACCTGAAGACTTACAGAGATGAGCCAGGGGCTCCTGAGGTAATAGAAGTCACTAGGGAAACACCTCAGAGGAGAGGTGTTCCTATAAAAAAGGTGATATGCTGACAGCCCAGCTGAGATGCCTTTACACCAATGCACGCAGCATAGGCAACAAACAGGAGTTGGAAGTCTCCATGCTGCTACAAAGCTACAACCTTGTTGTCATTACTGAAACTTGGTGGGACAAATCCCATGACTGGAGTGTGGTTATTGATGGCTACAGACTGTTCAGAAAGGACAGAGATAAAAAGAGGGGTGGAGGGGTTGTCCCCTTTGTCAAGAAATGGATAGATTATGAAGAGCTGTCTCTGAAGAACAGCCATGAGAAGGTTGAAAGCTTATAAGTGAGAAATAGAGACAGAGCTGAAAAAAGGAACCCTGTGGTTGGTGCTTACTACAGGCCGCTCAATCAGGAGAAGCCTATTGACAAAGCCTTCTTGCTCCAGCTACAGGAGACATCGCAATCGCAGGTTCTTGTCCTGCTGGGGGGCTTCAACCACTCCGACATCTGCTGGGAAAGTAGCACAGTGAGCTGTAGGCAATCCAGAAGACTCCTGAAATGCATGGAGGATAACTTCTTAAGCCAGCTAATAGACAGCACTACCAGAGGGGATGCAATTACTGGACCTGATGGTCACCAGTGTAAGTGAGCTAATGAGGGTCATCAAGATTGGAGGCAGCCTGGGCTGCAGTGATCATGCACTCATAGAATTTGCAGTCCTGAGGAATATGGGTCAGGCTGAGTCAAGACCCAGAATTTTGGGAAAATAAGCTTCCAGCTGTTCAAGGAGTTAGTCAATAGGATCCCCCTGAGAAACTGCCCTCAGGGCCAAGGAGCAGAACAGAGCTGGCAGATCTTTAAGAAGTCTTCCATTGAGCAAAGAGAGCTTGCAATCCCCCAGCACAAGTCAGGCAAAGAAGGCAAGAGACCAGCATGGCTGAGACAAACTAAAGGGCAAGAGGGAAATGCACAGGCAGTGGAATCAAGAACAGGTGTCCTGGAAAGCATATAGAGACACCGGTTGTGTCAGGATGATGCGTGGAAGACCAAGGTGCAGCAGGAGCTGAACTTGAAAAAGGAGGCAAAGAATAACAGGAAGGACTTCTACAGGTATGTCAGCCAGAAAAGGAAGATCAAAGATGATGTACCACTCCTGATAAGCAAGACTGGCAAACTCTCAATAATAATGAGGAAAAGGCTGAGGTACTCTACAGCTTTTTTGACTCAGTCTTCAATGGCAACCTTTCTTCCCACACTTCTCAAGTGGATAGACTGCAAGACAGACTGGGAGAGCAAAGTCCCTCCCACTATAAGAGAAGATCAGGTTCATGATCACCAAGCCATTCTCCATTGCATTTGAAAAGTCATGGCTGTCATGTGAAGTCCCAGGAGACTGGAAAAAGGGAAACCTTCCACCCATCTTAAAAAAGGGTAGAAATGAAGACCCTGGGAACTACGGCCCTGTTAGCATCACATCTGTGCCTGAGAAGATCCTGAAACAGATCCTCTTAGAAGCTCTGCTAAGGCACATGGAGGACAGGCAGGTGATTCAGGACAACCAGCATGGCTTCACCAAGGGCAAGTCTGACCAACCTAGTGGCCATCTATGATGGAGTGACTCCATCAGTGGACAAGGGAAGGGCTACAGATATCCTTTATTTAGACTTCTGTAAAGCCTTTGACATGGTCCCCCACAACATCCTTCTCTCTCAGTTGGAGAGAGGATTCGATGGGTGGGCTGTTCAGTGGATAAGGAATTGCTTGGATGGTTGCATCCAGAGTGTATCTGTCAACAGCTCAGTGTCCCAATGGACATTGGTGACAAGTGGTGTCACTCAGGGGTTCGTATTAGGACCCAGTGCTATTCAACGTCTTCATCAATGACATAGATGAAAGGATCGAGTGCACCCTCGGCAAGTTTGCAGATGGCACCAAGCTGAGCAGTACAGTTGACATTCCTGAAGGATGGGATGCCATCCAGAGCAACCTGGACAAGCCCAAGATGTGGCCCATGGGAAACTCATGAGGTTCAACAAGACTAAGTGCAAGGTGCTGCACCTGGGTCTGGGCAATCTCTTGTATCAATACAGGGTAGGGAATGAAGAAATTGAGAGCAGCCCTGCCAAGGACTTGGGGGTGCTGGTGAATGAAATCATAGAATCATTATGGTTAGAAAAGACCTCTAAGATCACCAGGTCCAACAGTCAACCGAGCACTACCACCATGTTCACTACTAAACCATATCCACACATTTTTTGAACATTTCCAGGAATGGTGACTCCACCACTTCCCGGGGCAGCCTGTTCCAATGCTTTAGAACCATTCCCATAAATAAATGTTTCCTAATATCCAAACTAAACCTCCCCTGGTGCAACTTGAGGCCATTTCCTTTTGTATTGTCAATTGTTACTTGTGAAATGAGACTGAGACCCACCTCACTACAACCTCTTTTCAGAGCAGTAAGATTTCCCCTCAGCCTCTTCTCCAGGCTACACAACCCTAGCTCCCTCAGCCACTCCTCAGAAGACTTATGTTCCAGACCCTTCACCATTTTCACTGCCCTTCTTTGGACACACTCCAGTGCCTCAATGTCTTTCTTGTAGTATTTTTCTTTAATTAAGGGGACTATTATCTATCTGAATGCATCTAATAACTGACTAGTTTAACAACCTTGTAATTATGTGTAAACATGCTACTGGAAAGACTCCTACATTTTGGTTCATTACCATATGTAACAAAGTTCAAAGCCCCACAAAGGAATTAATAACATACAGCAACAGTATAGTAGCTTTAAACAAATAAAAATGCAAATTAGAGTCTAGATAATGCAACAAAAAAAGCTGCTAAAAATACAAATAAAGCTCACATTTCTAATAGGAAACTACCTGGCCATGTAAAACTGCCCATCTTTCTGCATCTAAGCTGTCTGAAACCAATGGGCTAGGGTTGCTGATGTGTATATACCCTTACATTGTGTCAATTTAGACAGACAGCAGACAGAAAAGACTGCAACTTCTCGCTCCTTGGAGTAAACAGTTATCTTAAATAAGTCCCAAGATAACCACTACGTACTGAAATCTTCCGACTGCAAAACTGATGCAGCACTGATTTGTACTTCTAAGTTTCTTTATTTCTGAAGAGTAATACCAGTCACTGACAGGATGTTGTTTCATAAGACATTTAAGCCAGTGTAAGAATGGGAAGTTGTCTGAGGTACCATCACATCTCTCCTCACCCTACATGATCCCACATCCATCTCTTGCATTGGCACCACAACTATGCAGAACCAAGGAAATTCTGCAGAAGTCTGTCAATCCCATGGAAAGATGCTGTTCCTTTTAAAGTTGGTTAACCTTCTGTGGAATCTTTATCCTGAACTGACCCACTCAAATGCTGACAACTGCTAGATTCAATGCAAAGAAGTGTCAGTAAAGGTCAGAGCGAGATGAAAACACAACAGTTTTCTTTTGTAAAATCCTGTAGCCACACAAAGGTAGGCAGACATCTCACAAAGGGTACTCAAAATCTACTCAAAAGACAGTTCCTCTCCTAGAGTAATCTTCTATCCTCTTACATTTGGTGCTAGAGCTCCTGTGGCAACCAGGAATCTGACAAGGGAACTACTATCTCCCACTGAAAAATTTTATTGGAACAGTTTTTTCATCTAAATCAGTTCCATGACCCATTTAACTGCATGCCACTTGGACAGTGCCGTGGTTTGAGAGGAAGTAGGTTTTCTGGGATATGCTGTGGTCACACCAATGGATATTCCGATTTGAATATTGGCACCTGGTGTGGCCACTGGGGACAATGGATATGATTCGGAGAACACAAGGGTTTAAAAAGCAGAGCACTCCCGGGGGAAGCTCTCTTGGGTCTGGCAAGGGAAGCAGGTCGGACCTCCCCTGTCCAGCTCTCGGCTGGGTGGGGGAGGGGAAGCCATGCGCCGTGAGGTAGGCCGGGCCCTGAGGATAGAAGGGTGGAAGAGCATCGAGAGGCATCGGGCAGCCCCCCCCTCCCCCAGGAGACAGAGAGAGAGAGAGAGCCTGTGAGACCCTGAAATTTGATATGATGTGCTGGCAGCCCAGCCCCGGGCGCGAGTGGGAGCTTTGGGAGGGCAGAGCCCGAGCTTTTAACCCTTTTTTGGACAATGAAAACCTTTCAGAACATTAACCTTTCTTAGAAGAGAGATAGAGATTAAATAGAGGAAGAAATGGGCGAGTATGATGAAGGTTCGGGTGAGTGAAGATGCGCAAGAGTAGAGAAGAATCTTAAGTGGGAAGAGATGATGGAGTGGCTTTTGCTGGACTCTTCTTGCTATAGCCATGGAAAGAACCATGTTCCTTGTGACACAGAGACTGCATCCAGGGGGAGGCGATGGCTCAGACCCAAGAGGGTTCAGTGTTGAGACCCCTCGGACCCAGGGGGTGAAATTTGGGAGGTACAGGTGTCCCAAAGGTGAGACTGTACTCTGCTTGGAACAGGACAAAGCATCCTTAAAAAAGATGACCCTAGAAGCAGCTCTGGTCCATGTTCAGTAGTGAGAGCACCAGACATGAAAAGAGGTCACGATGGCAGATGTTCTCTGGGCAGTGCCATGAGTGACATGGAAACACAGGAGGTTTCGACCGTGTTTCCTGGGGAAGCCTATGGCACAAGAAAGACTCCTCTCCTCTTGATGAACTGAGAATTGGTTACCTAAAGAGTAGTGATAGACCAAGAGTTGGTGATTTTGGGGGATAGATGTATTGGAATTTGGTGGGGGGAGGAAGAAATCTTTTTGGAAAGTTTTCATTTTCCCTGTGTGTTTCTTGTTACTTAGAGTTGTAGTTTAGTTAATAAAGTTTTCTTTATTTCTAAGTGGGGACCTGCTTTGCTTATTCCTGGTCACATCTCACAGCAGACACCAGGGAGCATATATTTTCATGGAAGCACTGGCATTGCGCCAGCGTCAAACCATGACAGACAGTTAGGCTAGCCAAGACAGGTATTTCAGCAGTACTTCACAAAATAATCTGGAGATAAATGTCAATGCATTGTTTATTGTGTGAATGTCTAAATCTTATCAGTATTACTGCTGATAATCCTCTATACACACCATACAGAACAGCAGTCACTTCACATTCTATCACAGTTTTAGCTGTGAGCCATGGAAGAAAAAAATATAAATATCACCACATTCTCTTATCCAAACAGGCCTCCTCCTTTTAACATATAATTTGAAAATTACACAATTATTTTTTTTTAAAAAACACACCTGGTAGTTCTGCGTAGTGACAGGAGGTGGTGGTGGTGGAGCTTCTTGTTGCCTCTGTGTATAACCATAATCTGTAGCTGTGTGCGCTGTAGGATAGCCTCCATAAGCAGCAGCTGTTGCAGCAGCTGCAACAGCTACTGGAGCAGGCCTGGCTACTGCAACTGTAGCTGCTGCTGGAGCATAGGCTGCAGTGACAGTGTGCGCAGCAACTGGTGCTTGGTGGACAGTGTAGCTGGCAACTGTAGTTGGATGGGAATAAGCTACGCCTGAAGCTGGCTGCTGGCTACATTGGAAAAAGACAGTAAGTAAGTAATTAGATTAATCCAACATACTCATCTAATGCCTAAACATTTCAAACTCCCAGATTTGATTCATACTTGTCTGTTCTACAAACAGACCTGGAACAGCTATCATACACTGTAATTACTTTTATTACCTCTTATCTACCCCATTAAAAAGGCTGTATCATTTTGAAGTTTATGTGAATGGAAATATATCGTGCAGGCAATGACTTTCTTCTTAGCAAGGAGTGGTGGTAGCTGTGTTCCACTGCTTGAAAAGATCTCAAGCCTTTCATTCAAAATAATACACAAGTCTTACACAGTTATCTTTTCATTACCAATAAGTTTTTAAATGTTTTAGTGGTTCTTCAACAAAACTGATATACCTGTCAAATTAAGAAAAGTACTGCTTTTCTATGGGAGCTCATTATTGATATGCACTTGCATGATGTTTTTCAGTAAATCATATTAAAGTAATGAGATTTTAAAGACTTCTGTGAAAAATAGCTCAGAACTCTTAAATTTAAGGAAGAGAAGGTTTAAATATTTCTGATGTGGGAGGTTTCCCACAAAAGTTGAAAATTATAAAAGCTGGCCCCACTCACTCAAACAGAAGTCCACTGCCTCTCAACATGAAGCATCAAAAGAACGGGCAGTCAAATCAAGCAAGACAACTGCTACCAGAGGTCTGGCAATCTTCCAGGCACATGCTGAAACTAATTTGCTTCTCTTTAATGTGCAGGTAAAACATTACTATGTAGCTATTTAATAAAAATAAATAAATATTAATAGTGGAAATAAAAAAACTATGGATTCTAAGATTTATTATTTGAACTAAGACTAATATTGTTGTCCTATAATGATTTACAACTTTGCATTATTATTAAAATCCTATAAAATAGCTATTTTTAAACAAATAAAGTGAACTGGGCAAAATATCACTATCTGGAACAATTATATTAAATAGGGGATTGAGTGATTATTATGAATTTTTTAGTATACTTCCTGTACTGATTTTCAAAATTTTAGAGTCTCTATAGAGTTTCACATCTCCATAGCACTGTTAAAAGATTATTCAAAAACAATTCCATGCCTATCAAGGAGGTAGTATCCTCTAATTTTTAGAAAAAAATAGTTAAATGAAATCTTGTTGGAAGCAAACACTCAAAGTGGAATTTCAGCATGATTATGCTCAAAACCAAAAGGAATGAGTTACAGTATTTCTTTCCTAAAGACTGCAATATTCTCTCTGACATAGCTATCAGAAACAAAGCACCTTTTAACTATAGTTGCTATTATTTTTGCAAAAAACATTTCCATAACTCCCTTTCATTTAATAACTTTTATTTTAAAAAAACCCTGATTTTGTAATTTTAATTACAGCAGAACCCAATAACTTCAATATATTTTTAAAAATTTCTTACAGCAGAAACACACAGAGAAAATATTATTATTGTACTTACACACCCGGACTCCACCTTTTCCTATCTTAAGCCCCTGTTTGCTTTAAAAGCCACTTGCATTTCATCCAAATTTAATTCAGTTGTGAGTTGTACTCACAATTATGTTTCATTTCATTTTCAACTTCTTAGCATAACAGTCGAAGGAAAAGACCTCACTCACTCTGGTGTAGCTCCCACCACTGCTTGATGTATATAAACAGTTTATCTATTTTGTCAGTTTAAAGTGAGAAATCAGACTCCATCAGAAAATCGAGGAAGACTATTTTATGATGGTAAAAGTGAATGACAATTTATAAAATTAGGCTGTATTATCTACATAACTAACAGTACAGAAGTGTAAAATAGTCATACGTTCTGAGGTAATTCACATTATCATACGTACCTACTAAAAGTACATTACATTGGGAAAACAGGCAGCAGACTATCTCAGACTGCACTTGAACAAATTACCAGTCTAATACTGCCAACAAGGAAATGTCTTCCTCCTCACTCTTATTCCTCCTTCCTCCCATATACCAAACCTGGTTATGTCATCCTATTTCATCCCTAGTGCTAATTCTGCTACTTGTCAAGCTATTCATTGCACTGATTTAACTCATTAATCTAGCAGAAAACTAGATTTTTTTTTAAATTATTTTTTTCCTGAGTTCATTTTCTATCGTGGTGGAAATGTTAGAAACATTGTAGCTCACAAAACAGTCTGCTGAGTGCTAGAACCCACATAAGTTATACATATGGAAGCAGAGGAAAATAAATAATGGGAGAGAGAGAAAGAACAGGGACCTGCTCAGGAAGCATTAATCTGTCACAAGTTTCATGAAATCAAGCTTAAGTTACTATTACAAAATACAATACAGTGTTAACAACACACTATGAGGTAATAGTATCAGTCTATCAACTAAAATGCTTTTCTTCTCAGAAATATATATATATATATTTGATTAGAGTTGCCTGACAGTTTTCAGTGTTTAATATTGTGAAGAGATTGTGATCATTATGAGGACTATTAACAAGATTCTGCTAACAGTTTAATTTCTTCTGTGCTATTTTTGTACCAAACTTCCTTATCATGGTGCAGAATTAGCAGCTCAAATAATTTGATTTCTAAGGCTAATATAATTCTATCACCATGTTTATTTTATCAAATCTGTTCCCCTTGCTTCTGCAACACCATGCAGAGCTAGTGTAGTGACTGAGTTTGCAAGACCACAAGAAAAATATTCTAGAATTGACTGCTACTTCATTTTTAAAAATTGTTATGCTATGTTACAGAAATTCATATCAACATCTTGTTAGCGTTCAAAAACACATAATCACGGAGGATTATATGCGGGGGATTATATGCGGTGTTTTTTATTAAGAGCTCTGGGAATCGGGGTATATTCAACCCAAATCTGACTCCGACCATACATCCGAGATGATCATGTTTTATACTCTATCGTTACATAACTTTCATGTTAATTATTAAACTTATATTGTTCTATTGTATACATAAATTTAGCCCCTCTCTGAATTTCCAACATAGTTTCTCACTATTCTTCTTATGGTTATATAATAATTGCATTTAATTACTAAACAATCATCACATCTAACAATTATATAATTTATCATACTGCTTACGCAGGTGCAGTTGATCTGGGAAAGCACAAAGCCTAACATTTTAGATTCTATCTTTAACTTTTTCCAGGGTTCCACTATCAGTCTTTTCTAACTTGATGTTTCTTTTTCTCCCCATGGTCTTACTGAGAACCTTTTAACATAAAGATGACCAGATACTTTCAGTTAATTAATTTATAATCAAAATATTTTTGTGTCACTGTCGTTTAACTTAAAAGAGTTTTTAATCCTTGTTTGGTGATTAGTGGTTCATCATATTTGCCAAGATGAACTTACCTCTCTCCAGACTATTTTTCTAGCTCCCTCTTCCATCAATCTTTCTTGCAATTTTTCATTGCCCATATCCTAGTATTATCTATTTTTTCATTACTACAGATGGCAAAAACTGTATGGATCATTTGAGGTTTCAGCTATGCCACTCACTCTGCTCCAGACTTTTTTTCCAAAGAATCTAGCTTCCTCAGAGCAGCTTCTTGTAAAGTTACCTGTGTGTTGACAATATTTCCCTTGCATCAAATATCACAATGCACCATAAATAAGACTCAAGATCAATCCCTAGAGTACTCCACTGCAACTATTCCTCTGATAATCACTCTTCTAATTCTACTAACCACCTCTACTGGATCCTTCTCTACAATTCTTTTACTAATTTCTAGATAGATTATAATTTTCCATATTGCACCACATCAAGTATTTCAACTTAGTCCTAATAAATAACACTCAAAAAACTTAGGCATTTAATCAAGTTATTAGAGCAACAGTGAAACACGGTATGTCAGCTGAGCTATGGTAACAAACTTCATGTGTGCTTTTTACTACAACAAAGAAAGTCATTCAGTTTAGCTTAATCCCCTAACACAGTGGGGGAAAAGTTGAACCAAATTAGAAGCAGAGAGAGAAGCTAACCGGTTGACTTGGTACCTTAGTGAGTTTTCTTTGTAGATCAATTCTTCTCTTCCCCCAAATAAATTCTAATATCCTTAATAGCATCTTTGAGTTCAAAGAATTTGAGTGCTCTTTATATGAAAAGATATGTAGTCCAACAGGCTTTACTAACTAGACAGAACTTAAAAATGACAGAGTAATTTAGGCTGAAGCAAATATTATGAGGTCGTCTGTTCTAACTCTGTGCCCAAAGCACAGCTAATAACAAAGTTACATTCGTTTTCCCAGGGCTTTGTGTCTAATCAGGTTCCAAGACAGCTCTAGACAAACTGTTCCAATATCTGAGCACTTCACTGTCAAAATTTTTTCCTTAATTTATGAAAGATTGTTTCAAAAGCAAATGACTTCTAAACCGATGTTTACTTAAAGCAAACCCAGTTTGTGAACATCCAATTCAAGGTAACTTCATATTACAATTCTTACAGTATTTTAACTTACTATCAAAATAAACATCACTCTTTGACTTAAGAAGTTACAGACAAAGGACTCGTTAGCTTTAAATCTTACTCTGCTACACTGCATTAATAATACCTTCTGCCAAATATTTTAATTCAAAATGAATGTATTTTATTCATACCACATCTATTTCTTTAGCTGATCATCAAAGTAACAGTACTTCCCCACCAAGTATGGATATTCTCAGTTCAGTCAAAGAAAGAACAGAGATAATTTCTCCCAGGCTGAGCCTGGGAATCTTAGAGGAAAAAAGTTAAAACAATTATTATCTCTCTTTCTGTAACCATTTTTTATAGCTATGGTTCTCCACAGTGCGCTATCCATAGTATGCCAGTAGTGTGAGATGTTTTCACTTTGAGACCAATCAGGTCTCAGCTTAGCGAGTGAGACTATAAAGCTCGCAACTTCTTGCTAATAAAGGGATTATTCTGTTTTGCCTTCTGATCCACCTGAAGACTGGAGTCTTTCTTTCCGTCCCTGACTCAACAGCGACACACCAAGCTCACTTTAATTCCAATTTTCTAGGAACAACACACATTCTGAAACACTCATCTTCCATCTTGGATTTCTATATCACAGTGGTTTTACTATCGCAATCACAGCCAGTGTACAGGCTACATGTTGCACTCAATTGTTCTTCTCCATGTTCTGCAGATGTATGTTTTAGTCAATGACAGGTTGTCTTAGGCTGAAAGATTTAGCTGGGGTGTTGTCCTAGTTCGGGGCAAATTTTGGAGAGAACCCCCAATGGGACTCCTCTAGGAAAGCAGATTCAATCAGCCCCTCCCCCCAACCAGTCCAGGAGAAAATACCTCCTTGGAGAAAAGTGGAAAAAACCCTGTTTATTAAAGAATAAAACCTAAACAATATTAAACAATAAAACCCCTTGCTGCTCCAAAAGAGATGACAAACTCAGAAAGTCCCCTCCCCGGATTGCACCTTGGCTCACTCAGTCTCTTATCAGTCCCTCCGATGCTGGAAATGGGGCAGCCCAGACCCAGCCCGGTGGGCCACAGCTGCGTGCTGCCGGTGCTCTTGTGGGTGTTCAGCCCAGAGCAGGTTTAAACAGGTCCAAAGAAAAGGGAAAAAAAACCCAATCCAGGGAACTTCTTTCCCTCAGCTAGGTAAAACTAACTAAAACAAAGGAGAGCTCTGTCCTGCTGTCTGTCCATCCGCAGACAACACAGTCCAGGAGCAGGAATGTGGAGGAGTGAGTGCAGTGTATGAAAACAAATTGCATGCTTCTTCTCTCTCCCCTTCACTCTCTGGAAGAAGTCTTAAAGGTGCAAAACTTATTATTCCGCATAAACAGAACAGACGATTGGGGATAAAAGCATCATATAGCCAACCCAGAACATTCCACCCCTTATCCCCATATCGTCAGCTTACTACTAAAACTAATATATATTCTAACTCGACAAACACATACATTACACATCCAATATACAGCTATACACAGACAATGGTAGTAACATTCAGCAAACGGTGATATTTACACAGAGTTCTCACCCAACAATCAGATCTACCTGAGGTACACATCGTGTTCTTCCATCTCTTTGCATTATCCCCCATGTGCAACCTGGTCCCTGAGCAAAAACAACCCCACAAATGGGTTTGTCTGTACTCGAGGCAGAATTGATCCAAACTGTCTTTCCTAACAAACCTCTGACATGTACCACTGGGACTTTGTCTCCATCTACTCTATGCAAAGGCTCAGATTGGGCAGGGCCCACTCACTTAGTAGAGCCTCAGGTGTTAACCAACCAGGTGGCCTTTGCTAAATGCTGCTCCCAATTTTTGAAAGATCCCCCACCTAATGCTTTCAAGGTGGTTTTTAACAGCCCATTGTATCTCTCCACTTTGCCAGCAGCTGGTGCATGGTAGGGGATATGGTATATCCACTCAATGCCATGTTCCCTAGCCCAGGTGTTGATAAGGCTGTTCTTGAAATGAGTCCCATTGTCTGACTCAGTCCTCTCAGGGGTACCATGTATCCACAGGACTTGCTTTTCAAGGCCCAGGATGGTGTTACGGGCCGTAGCATGAGGCACAAGGTAGGTTTCCAACCATCCAGTGGTGGCTTCCACCATGGTCAGCACATAGCACTTGACCTGGTGTGTCTGAGGCACTGTGATGTAGTCAATCTGCCAGGCCTCCCCATACTTGTACTTGGACCTTCGCCCACCGTACCACAGGGGCTTCACTCGCTTGGCCTGCTTGATGGCAGCACACGTCTCACAGTCATGGATAACCTGAGAAATACTGTCCATGGTTAAATCCACCCCTCGGTCTCGTGCCCACTTATAGGTGGCATCCCTGCCCTGACGGCCTGAGGCGTCATGGGCCCATCGAGCTAGGAATAACTCGCCCTTGTGTTCCCAATCTAGATCTATCTTGGAGACCCCTATCTTTGCAGCCTGGTCTACCTGCTCATTGTTTTGGTGCTCCTCATTGGCTCTACTCTTGGGGACATGAGCATCTACATGGCAGACTTTCACAGGTAGCCTCCCTACCCTGGTAGCGATGTCTTTCCACTCATCAGCAGCCCAAATTGGTTTTCCTCTATTCTGCCAATTAGCTTCTTTCCACCTCTCCAGCCATCCCCACAAAGCATTGTCTACCATCCATGAATTCGTGTAGAGGTAGAGCTTTGGCCACTTCCCTCTTTCTGCAATGTCCAGGGCCAGTTGAACAGCTTTGAGTTCAGCAAGTTGGCTTGATCCACCTTCTCCTTCAGTGGCCTCTGCGACCTGTCGTGTGGGGCTCCATACGGCTGCCTTCCACTTTCGTTTCATTCCCACAATGCGGCAAGAACCATCAGTAAAAAGAGCGTATCGTGTATCTTCCGGTGGCAGTTGGTTGTATGGTGGAGTTTCTTCAGCACGTGTCACTTCTTGTTCCTCTTCATCAGCGAGACCAATGTTTTCACCTTCCAGCCAGTTTGTAATTATTTCCAGAATCCCAGGGTGATTCAGTTTTCCAATACAGGTGATTCATTTGCTCCATGTAGCACTGGTGGCATGGTGGGTGGTGGGAACCTTTGCTTTGAACATCCACCCCAGTACTGGTAGTCGGGGTGCCAGGAGCAGTTGTGCTTCAGTGCCTATTACCTCTGCGGCAGCTTGGACTCCTTCATAGGCTGCTAAAATTTCCTTATCTGTTGGAGAATAGTTGGCTTCAGACCCT